GCCAGGGCTCTGGTCTGGGGGTGGGTGGTGGGTGGGGAGCTCGCTATCATGGCCCCCCTGTGTCCGCACCTCGGTTTTCCCGTCTTTGCCACGAGTGTGAACGGGTGGGAGTAAGAGACAGGGTGCCGGGACAACCTCAGCCTCACCTGTGGCCTCGAGTGTCTTAGGGAGTCTTGTGCCTCCTTCTACCCCTTTGGTGGGCTCGTTCCCCTGGTCCCCACTCCCTGCCCAGACAGGCCCACGTCCGCCCTGCCTTCTGCGTGCTCCTTTGCCCTTCATGGCAGAGCAGCATCTGGTCCTGCTTGCTTTCCCCAAAGCTAAAGGCCCCTAAATCCCTTCCCTCAAGGCTTCAGCAGCCAGGCCCACAGCCTGAGTCTCCTCTTGTTTCTGCCCTTTCTAAGTCCTTAAACTTCTCCCTGCTGTGGCCTCAGCCTCCCCATGAACCATTCCTCGGCCACAGGGTCCTAGTTCCATAGCAGGGGGCAACAGGGGGGGAATTACTAAGTCCCCTGCCCCCTGCCCCCTTGGTGAGGAAGGCCAGCGGGGCATCCCATTGACTGAGCTTTCCTATCCCAACCCTGTGCCCTCAGTTTGTTGGTTACTCAGACCCCCTCAGCCACTCTGCACACTGGGATCTAGGGCTGGAAGAGGCCCCGTGTGGCCCACCCCCTGCCACCCCATGCAGGAGCCCCCAAAGCACGTGTTCAGGGGCGGCGAGCTCACTACTGTTCAGGGACCTGTGCCCTCACATCACTTAGCTAGAATCCGTGGCTTGCTGAGTGCAACCTTCAGTTCCAGCCCTTGGTGTTCCTGGAACGATGCAGAGTAAATTTATTCTTTTATGCATTCAAACACTTTTTATTGATGTTCTATGTAAAGCACTGGGAATGCAGCCATGAAAAAAAAATCAGGCACAACTCCTTGTCCTTCTGTGGTTCATATTCTAGAAGGGAGTCAGACGTCAGTCTAATAAGTCACTACAAAATGTCAAGTGGTGAGAAGTGCTACGGAGAAAAATGAAGCCGGCTGGGGGAGGAGGTGTGGGGACATGTTGTAGAATCAGGGACGGTCTCCCTGAGATGCTGCCAATTGAGCAAAACATTGAAGGCGGTAAGAGGTGAGCTAAGTGAATATCCAGGGGAAGAGACATTGCAGAGGGAAGAGCAGGTGCAAAGGCCCTGAGGCAGAAACATGACAGGTGGAAGCAGTCTGGTTTGATCTAGGAACAAGGAGGGCAGTGTACCTGGAGCAGAGTGGGTGGGGAGCAGGAGGGGCAGGTAGGAGCGCAGAGAGGCAAGGGTGAAAGGTGGGGGGTTCCTTGCCTAGGACCTCAACGGTCAAAGGACTCCGAGGGGAGTCACTTTCTCTGACTTAGGGGTTGGTGGCTTTATCTGGCTGTGACAGAACAGACTGCAGTAATGAGCTCCCGTCACTGGACGTGTGCAGCAGACGGCTCCTGCATTGGGAGGGCGAGGGGTAGGTAACATGGGGTTCTTTCCAGCCTTTGAGGGCAGAAACAGGGTCATCAGTGAGGGCCCACTGCTGCCATTCTGGGGACAGACCATTGGAAGTGAGGGGCTTGCACTCATGGCATAGAGATGGTGAAAAAAATATCAGATTTGGGAAACACTTTGAAGGGATGGTTGGTAGGACTTGGAATGGCATTTGGGAGTCAGGATGACCTGGAGGTTTCTGGCCCTGGCATCTGGAAGTTTGGATCTGTGGTCAACTCAAATGGGAACTGTATAGGGGGTGGACCTGGAGTTTGGTTTCTGCTCACCACGTGTGAGATGCCCAACAGGTACCCACATAGGAAGCAGGGAAAAATTTAGTGGGGAGGTTGGAAATAAGGTTGTTGGATGACATCACCTTAGAGCTTGTATTTAAAGCCATAAATGATAAGAGGAGAGAGGCCCAACCAGTGATCTCTGAGGCCCTCATATTGGGAACCAGCCAGGGAGACAGGTGTTGCCAGAGAGATGGGAGGAATAGGTGTCCTGGAGGGCAGGAGAACCTTCCAGGCAGAGGGACAGAGCCGTGGTCACACAGGCCTTTGACAAAGCAAGCCAGAGGAGGACCGAGAGGTTCGCTGGTGACCCCCACAGAAGCAAGTCTGGGAGACAGGGTGGGGGCCCTGTTGGAGATGGGGAGGGAAGGACAGGGGTCCTGCTGTGAAGGGGGTAGAGAAATTAGACTGGAGACCGTCTGGTCTGTGGGGCTGGTGGGAGATAGAAGGTAGCTCAGCGGAGGGGCTGAGAATGGAGGCTGCAGGAGGTGAGGGTGCGGGGCCGCAGGGGAGGCTGGGTGTCAGCTGAGAGCCAGGGTGGTTCCAACAAGGGGCTTCCCCTGGACTGCCTCCCTCTCCGTTCTCTGCGGGCCAAAGGGTGAGACTGAGGTGCTTAAGCAAATCAACTGACTCAGAGCCTCCAGCCTCCTAGGCTGGCTGCAGCTTCGGGAAGGAGGAGGTATCGGTGCTTGGGCCCGGGCCTGGGGATAGAGGAGGCCCCCCACCCGTGGGTGCTTCTTCTCTTTGGCCCTATCTCCACAGGCCTCATCTTCTTGGAGGAAACACACACTGACTCCAGGGCCTAAGTGATTGGGTGGAGAAGCAAAGGCAATGGTGATGAGCTAATTTAGTTTGTCTGAAAGGGGACAGTCTGAGCAGATGATAAAGAGGCAAGAGGCAGGTTTTAGTGACAGTGTTTATGGACAGGTGGACCCCTGTATTCTCTCATTCCCAATTTAGACCAAAACCCTAGAAACCTAAGGGAGACATAATGAGGTCTGGTTATTGACGACAGCAAGGCCAGGTCCTTCCCTCTGGGTTCTAAGGCAAGGAAGGACAATCAGCGCCTGCTCCGGGGCAGGGAGCTGGCCAAGCTGGTCCTGAGGGATTCTCCCTGCTTGCGGGTTTCCCAAAGAGGCCGGGGCCGAGAGGGGACTTTCCAGCCCTGGTGGGAGAACAGGGTGCCAACCCTGTGACCCTGGGCCTGCCTCTCCCTCCTGGCGTCTGCAGCCCTGACATCACGAGCTGGGTGTGTGCTTGAGCATCCCGGGTGTCCCGGACTCGTATGTTTGGGAAGACCTCTGCTTCTTCACAGCCAGCACACCTTGGGCAGGATATGGCGGGTGCAAGATTTTGTGCCAGGACTGCCAAGAATGACAGCGGTTGGCAGACTCTGGCTTCCTGCCCAGCCTTTCGGGGTTTCCCCAGGAGGGGGCAGATCTAGGCCTGCCAGTCCTGTGCCACTAGGCCGTGGCGTCTGCTCCTAACCTGCCTGCTGCATGAGCCTCCTAGGTGGTCCAGGCCCTCCCGGTGTGGAGCCCACAGCCGTTGTCCACCCTCAGGCATTCTCTGGGGTCCAGGAGCGAGGATTGTCCTCTCTCACCTTGACAGTCCAACTTCTCTGAGTCCCGTCTGCACACAGCCCTGCAGATCCCGGGTCAGAGAAACAGTGCTGCCCCATTTCTGGGTTGTCCCCGGAGGGAGGGCAGCTGGTTCTTCTGTCCAGGATCTGGGCAAGGGTGGTGGTATGGGCAGTTGTTTCCACAGCTGAGAACCTCTCGGCCTGAGTCAGAACACTTCCTTCCCCTCCTGCTACACCCCTTCCCCCTCCCCTGCTTTGCTCTTCTGCTTAGCAGTGGAGAATTGTTGGGCCAGAGAAGGTAGTTTTAGTTCCTGATTTCCAGAGGCCTCTGCGTTGCAGATGACCCCCCCCTTCCCAGGCTGCTGGACATGCAGGTGACCTCACTGCCTCGGTCTCCCCGGCCAGCACCAGGCCCGCAGCCTAAGTGGCGGTGGTGTCCTGAGTTAGGTTTGTCCTCTCCCTTGCTTTGGCTGGCATGTGAGGGCAGGCGCAGAATGCTCCAGCCCCTCCCGTCAGTGGATTTTTGATTTGTGAACATGCCGGTTTTGTCTTCCCTGCACCTTGCCCTGTGCCCAGCTCAGGCACACCAAGATAAATAAGACCCAGGCATCAGCTTGGGCCAGGAAGGACACGAGACCTGTAAACATCCAGAAGGAAAGAAACAAAATACCTAAGCCTTGGCGTCTGCTCCCTTGGGTGTTCTGGAATGTCCCTGTTTTGGAGAAAAGGCGTGCCTCTTCTTTTTCCCATGGCTGAGACCCTTTCACTTTCATTTTGTCTGGGCACTGCACCAGCTTGTGCTCCTGGACTCTGGACTATCACAGGACAAACCCTGCTGAGGAATCTGCTGCTTGGGGACCCTCCCAGGGCTTAAAGCCCCAAGAGGTTGCTTTCCCTGAAATTCTCAGAACCCAGAGTCTGGGGGCTGAGCTCAGAGCAAGCCACTGACAGAAGCAGAGCTGACAGTATGTTATGTGTGGAAGTGAGGGCCCTGGAGGGAGGGGAGGGCCTGGGGCAAAGAAGGGGAAGTGATGGAGGGGGCAGGCACTCATAGGCTTTGAGAGGTGTGGTTGGGGTCATGATTCTTGCTCCCCCGGATGACATCTTTGTAGCAGGGCTCTGGGGCTGCCCCTTACGCAGGCACAGGGAACCCAAATCTAAGGCAGGTAAAGGCCTGCGGAGTAGCCTGAGATCCTGGCTCCAGCTTTTCTAGCTGTGAACCCTTGTCCAAGTCTCTTAGGCTCTTTGTGTCTGTTTCTCCATCTGTGAAATGGGCTGATCGTAGCCCCATTGCGAGTGGCTGGGAGGGCCCATGTGGGACGTGCTTGGAGTGGGGCTGGCATACGGCCCCTCCCTATCAGTGTTGAGTAAATACTAGCCTCAGCTGGAGAGAGAGCGGCCTTGGGCTGGGCCGACATGGCCAAGCCCTCTCAGCTGCCTTCAGAGTTCATTCCCGACCCTCTTAGCTCAGGACTTTCTCAACTTCCTAAGCTGGGCTGAAGCTTGGATGTGGGGCCAGGGTCTTGATTTGACTCTTGGCGCTTTTAAACTCTCCGTGGGATCTTGAGTCTGTTTCTTGCTTTCTCTGGACTCAGTTCATCTCTGCACAACAGGAACGTGAGGTAGGGAGCATCTGAGGGCGGGACCGTGGCTGCTGGGCTTCCCTCTCTAGGCACCAAAGCTGGCTTCTGGAGTTCTTCCCTTTCTCTCCTGCCCAGGCGGTGAGATGTGCACCCAGGAGGCTTTCCAGGCGCGGAGGAGCCAGCTGGTGGGGCTGCTGATCTCTGGGTCCCTGGAGGGCTTCGAGAGTGTCCTGGACTGGCTGCTCTCCTGGGATGTCCTCTCCTGGGAGGACTATGAGGGCCTTCGCCTCGTGGGCCAGCCCCTCTCCCACCTGGCCAGGCGCCTCCTGGACACTGTGTGGAATAAGGGCACCTGGGGCTGTGAACAGCTCGTGGCGGCCGTGGGAGAGGCCCAGGCTGACAGCCAGGCCCCCGAGCTGCCTGACCGCTGGGACCCCCGCTCACCCCAACCAGCCCGCGACCTGCAGAGTCACCGGCCAGCCATCGTCAGGAGACTCTACAGCCACGTGGAGCACGTGCTGGACGTGGCCCGGGAGCGGGCCTTCATCAGCCGGTACGAGTATGATGAAATCAGGCTGCCCATCTTCACAGCATCCCAACGGGTAAGGTGCTGCTGCCTCGGGCAATCGGAATTCTCAGGAAAGGGCGCCTAGTCACCAAGACTAGTGGGTCTTCACTCGTCAACCCTGTGGAGAGAAGGGAACGGTGGCTAGGCACGTAGAAGTTGCTCTGGAGCTTAGTGGCATGCCACTTCTGATGAGAGGACGCCCTGCATGCAGCTGGTCAGGGGCTTGGGTGCCCAGGTGTCCATGACAGGCTCTGGGAGATGGCAGGTCTCTATGGAAACTCTCCATGGGGAATCTTCTGGCCTTAGTTTCCCCTCTGGGAAAAATCAGTGGATTGGTTTGTGTAATGCAATGGTGTCTCTTGTTAATACCTTGTTAACTCCGTTGGCAACTGTCATTTCTGTTAGAAGTGGTATTCCATACTGGTATACTTGCATTGCTTTTCAGTGTGTAGCTCATCAGATCAAAATCCATTATATTACGTCTGTATTTAATGGTTAAGACAGCACATCATGTACTAATAGCATTTAAATACCCACATTGGATTCCTGGTGGGAAATTGCATTAGATCATAGACCTGGAGTTGGGATTTAACTACATCTAAAGATGCATGATTCAACAGAAACCACAGGAAAAGAAAGGTGTCTTTGAAGAGCTTTGTTTTGTTACCACTCCCCCCCATTCCCCACCGGTGATCCTCAGGCCTCCTGTGATGCAAATGAAGCACGAATTAACATTCTGCTACCAGGAAATTGAGGCCCAGGAAAGTGGTTGAGTGAGCTCACAGTTAATCAGAGGGCTGGCGCTGCACCTAGTGCCTTGACTCATTCATCCTTAATCATTCATTCATTTATTTAGCCAGATTCTGTTTAGATGCCCACTGCATGCCAGGATCTGTCTTAAAGCTTGTTATGCTTGGAGTACCTTGCAAAGAGGAGGCATTCAGAAGATACTTGTTGGTGAAATATGCGAATGATTGAATGAATGCATTGGAATTACATTGCAGTGTGAGGACAGGGTGGGTTGGGGGACCTTTTAGCTTCTATTTTTGTTTATTAAAAAAAAAAAAGTACCGTGTCCAATCAAGGTAAACCTAGGTTGAGGCAGAGAGAATAAGCCAGTCTTTCTTCAGGGTGCGGATAAAACTGGCTCAGGGGGCTAAGCATTTACAGAACAGGTGTGATGTGGTTCCTCCCAATTAGCGCATAGGAAACCTGCACTTGTCACCTGAGCGCTGCCAACTTGAGCCTGGCCCGTGGAGATGACAGCAGACATATTAGCTGTCGTACTCGCCCGTGGGGTCTGGGGCGGATGGAATCACACCAGGACGTTAGGATCATGTCTTGTCATCTTGTGATCTGGTTTGGATGCTCTGTGGGGCTTAGAGAAGGTAGTCTGGAGCCCGAGGGACTGGAGGACATAGGGCATGAATAGAGTAGGTATTTTGTTTTAATTTTGATTTTCTAATTTTTAAATTTTTGTTCCTCCATATGTGTACACGTTCCACTCACCCACCACCAAACCACCCATGCTGGTGCCCGTTAGCCTCCTTCTCCCAGCCCTTCCTCCCTCTGCCCTGTTCTCTCTGGTAACCATTAAATTCTTTCACTAAGTCCAAGTTTTATTCCCTCTGTATTGTGCCTGTGTGTTTTTTGGTTATTTATATTCCATAGATGAGCAAAGCCGATATCTGTTTTCACTTTCTGATTTATTTTGCTTAATGCAATCACCTCGAGGTTAGAGGAAGTATCAGGATTGATGAAATAAAGGAAATAGGATAACTCATGGGTCAAAGAATGAATCATAAGGGAAATCATAAAATATTCAGACCCAAACAATGATGAGAATATGGTTTATTAAAATTTATGGGATGCAGCTGAAGCAGAACTTAGAGGGAAATTTATAACCTTAAATTTTATATTAGGAGAGTAGAAAGGTTGCATTTTAATGAGCTATGAATTCACCCTAAGACAGCCTGGCAGACCGGAAAGTGTTGAGTGCTGGAGCCGACTTGAGCAGGTGGCAAGGATGCTGGAGAGAGATCTGAGGATTGTAGGGTTTATAAAGGAACTGCCTGAGGTTTAATTTTTTAGAATGCAACTCACTCTGAGTTTCAGGTGAAATCTGCCATTCTCTGATTCTGTAACTTGGTGGCCTTCCCAAGTAGCTGAATTTCTGGGTCAGAGCAGGTGACATTTGCTGTATGTCCAACTCACATACCCTGCCAATCCAGGACTGTCTGCACACTTGCATAGACTGGCCTTAAAAAAGGTGGTGGTCATGAAGTGCAAGTTGGGGACTGAAAATGTTGTGCAGTGAGACAAAATGCAAGTTAAAGAAATAATTCCTTAAAATGCCCATTGATGTTATTTACTAAGTGCCTATCATGTGCCAGGCACCGGGGTTAGCCCTGTATAATTATCACATTTAAGCCACACTCCTACCTTCCTAAGGTTCTGGAAAGGTTCTTTATTGATGATTCCTTCCTATTTTCTCTCTTTTTATGAAACTACTGTTATTTGAACTTCAGCAATGCTGGACTTATCCTTTAACTTCTCATTATTTTCCAGCTCTGTATCTTTTTGCTCTACTTTCTTATGGCATCTTCAGTTTCATCTTTACATATTTCGAATTTTTTATTTTTAATACCGTTCTTTTAATTTTTGAGAGCTATTGTGTGTTCTGCCTTTTAGCATTCTGTTCTCATTTTATGGCTCCAATATTTGTTTTTTGCTTAAGGATCATAATGATAGGGTGGGTTTTTATGTTGTAATTTTTTTTTACCTTACATAACCTTTTTTATCCTACATGTTGCTTTCTTCTCCCACACTTATTTGGCCTCTACTTCCTATAAATGCTTTCTTTGGACGTACGATAATCCTTGTTGTCTGCTCATGACTAAAATAAAGTACTTTAACAGTTCCTGGAAACTCAGTGCATGCAGATGAAACGTGTCTGCCTTGAGTTTCACTGTAGACATTTTGGGGAATGGCAGTATTTGTTCCTTTAAACCTTTCCTCCTGGGTTGGCCAAGTTCCCAGAGTGGACTTACCAGATTTCCAGGCAGTACCTGCTCTTAGTTTCACTGATCTTGCAGATTCTCAGATGTCCATTGTGTGGTTTTCCATGTCCTAGCGTTGGCTTAGGATTGGGTTTCTGGGTTCTTCTGAGTCTATTCCTATTAATTAATTTGCCAAGTCCTTGGGCACCTGCTCAGTGCCAGGCACTCCTCCAGGTGTTGGGATTATGTCCTTGGGCGAAACAGACAAAAGCCCTTGTCCTGGGGGATACATTTCTGGGGGTGTTCAGGAAGATAACAGTGAGCAAAAGGAAGCAGAGGACTGAGCATGGTCAGGAAGTTCTCCCTGAAAGGGTGAAATCTGAGCCAAGACTCAAAAAAAGTGAGGGAAGTCACCTGGTGGATGGCTGGGAAGGGCATTCTGCTGGAGGGCACAGGACAGAGCCCCAGGGGCGGGCAAGTACTTGATTTTTCTCAGAGACTGGGGTTAGTACACTGGTGGGATAAGAAGTGATATTAGAGAAGTAGCCAGGGGGTGTGGGTTATCACAGCCAGGACTTGGGCCTATTCCGTGCCTTGTAAGTTCCTGTTGGTCTTGGGTTTTCACTCTGAGAAAAGAGGAGACGGGTGAGACATCTGTAAGAGGAGTGGTGTGATCTGGCTTCTGCTTGTAAAGAATTTTACTCCGACTATGGTGTTGAGAATGGATTGCAGGGACAGGGACAGAAACAGGGGGAGCAGGGAAGTGGCCTTTGCAGCTTCCCGGTGAACAATGATGATGACTTGGATCAGGATGGCAGTGGAGCAAGTGATGAGAAGTGACCGTCGCTGCACATCCAGCCTGGTGAGCACTGGCCACGTGTGGCTGTTGAACACCTGAAACGTGGCTGCTAAGTAACGAGATTGTATTTGAAAAACTCAATATGAAAGAAAGAATGCAAAATTGCCCTCTAAAATTTGTTAATATTGATTGCTTTCTGAAATGTGTTGCTATTTTACATATTTGGGGCTCTGTACATATTTCCAGCTCTGTATCTTTTTGCTCTACTTTCTTATGGCATCTTCAGTTTCATCTTTACATATTTCGAATTTTTCATTTTTAATACCGTTCTTTTAATTTTTGAGAGCTATTGTGTGTTCTGCCTTTTAGCATTCTGTTCTCATTTTATGGCTAAATAAAATACATAATTAAATGAAATTTATCTATTTCACTTATTTAAAAAAAGTGACTTAGGAGATTCAGAATTACTCATATCTTTATTTGCGTCTTGCATTATATTTCTGTTGGACAAGGTTGTTCTGGGTATTCTGTGAAGGTGGAACCAGCTGGATTTGATGGTGGATTCCAGAGGAGAGGTTTCAAGGGTGGCCCAAAACTTTGGGGCAGAGCATCCAGAAGAATGGGGTTGGCATTAACTGAGACCAGGAGGGCTGTTGGTTTTGTGCTTGTGGAATAGGAGGTTAGTTTGGGAGGCGGCAAGTTGGAAGTGTTTCTGAGACATCTAAGTAGAGGTGGCAAGTAGGTAATTGGACGTGTGCACCCAAAGTCCAGAGGGAGAATTCGGGTTGAGGTGAAAGTGGGGAATCACGTGGGCAGAGATGGTCTGTTAAGCCTGACGACTTGTCTCTCTTCCAACCAAATGATTTCCAGCTTCCAGAATTGTTTTTTCTGATCTCTAGGTTTGTATATTTTTGTCTCTTGCTGTGGTTAATGTTGTTATTCACACTTTCGGTAGGTTTTGAGAGCAGCCTGGATGTGTGTGTTCAAACACCCAATACTTACTGATCTCTGAGGCGCGTCTTGTTGGGCTCCTGTTCTCGCTTTTATTTGGTGGAAGAGCGAGACCTCTGAGAGCGCAGTGACCGGTGCAAGCCTGCTCACGCCTCTCCATCAGCCTTTCTGAAAAGTAATAACTTTTGCTTTCCCCGTAGGCCAGAAGGCTCCTTGACCTTGCCACGGTGAAGGTGAATGGACTGGCAGCTTTCCTTTTACAGCATGTTCAGGAACTACCAGCGCCCTTGGCCCTGCCTTTCGAAGGTATATGTGTGTTCCTCTTGCTTCATCAGAAAGGGAATTAAAGGTGATGCAGGCTCACGGTTAAGAGCAAACCCTCCAGAGTGAGACCTGTGAGTGAGAATCCCACTTGCTGGCCCGACAAGCCTCTGAAGACTCACTTTGCTCATTTTAAGGCTGACGCCACCCCTGTCTTGTGAGGCTGTTGGGGGGTTGGAAGGATGAACACGTGTATGACAGCAGTTAGCTTTTATTGCTTTCTGCACTGAGGGATGGTCTTTGGAACTCCCATGTGGTGAGGGCTAGCCAGAGTTCCTTACTAAATAACTCTCATTGTCGAAAAGGATGTGGATGACCTTTGTGAATGAGTGTGGGTATCCCTTGGCTTCTGCACTTTAGCTGCTATCAGAGACTAGGACCCAAATGGTATCTCTTATTGCACATGGTCAGCGACCCAGCTCAGCAGCAGGAAACCCCTGGAGAGAGGAGGGACATCCGACTGCTGCAGGGCCCCCTTTACAATGACCCCGAGAAGCAGGTGTTTCCTCCACTTCATCAGGTGAAAGTGGGGACTGGGAGTTTGAGTGAAGATGTGGGGGAAGATGATCTGGGTTTAGACCAGCCCCCGCCACATATCTCTCTTGGTGGGAGAAGAGAACATCGGCTGTAAAGAGAGCGTGAAAGTCAAATGGTCTCGTTCCTGCGCCGCCGTGGGGAGAGGCCCTCAGCACTGAGGACCCTGGGGTCCTGTGTGGCGCAGGCATGTGGGCTGATCACGCTGGGCTGTGAGCACGCCTGGGGCAGGGGTAGCTGGAGTCCTGTGCGTGGTGCCTGGGTGGGCACCATCTCCCCTGGGAGTACGACACAGACATCAGGGCTCGCCGGGGTGCACGCCTTAGGGGCAGGCCTTGGTTAACCTTTGCCACTGATGTCATCGGGCACAGCTAGCCAGCCCTGTGCTTCGCACCAGGACAGGGCACAGGGTTCCCGAGGTGGCTGTTGCAGGTGACATATGTTTGTTTTTAAAATGAGAGGTAATTTTTTTTTCTGGAGAATCTGGAAATTTTTGGCAGTGGAAAATCTACAGCACAATCAGGGCACCAGCAAGGAAACTGTCTATTTCGTGGTCTCTGTTCTGTGCTCCTGATGTGTCGAGGGCGATATGAGCGATGACAAGCCTCACTCTTCTCAGAAGAGGAAACACAGAGACATGTCCTCGGCAACTTTCACGGCAGCTCCGCTGAAAGTTACCATGTATCTGGGGTTTGGTAGGAATGGGCCAGAATGCGGTTGGGGACAGTGAGGCCATGGTGGGGTGACCTATGTTCTGAGGTCCCTCTGGCCTGGGGTCCTGGACCACCACTTCCTCATTTCCTAAAAAAGGAAGTAATCCCTGACACAGGAAGTGGTTTGCTCACGTAGGTATTGGAGTGACAGGAAAAGCAGCGTCGGCCTGTGGACAGCCCCAGTGTATGACGCTCGCGTGGCCGAGAATGACGTGAGGCGCGTGGGCGAGAGGATCTTGGACTCCAGAGGCCTTGAGTTCATTCAGTGCCAGGCCCATCCACACAACCCAGGACAATGACCCCTCTTGAAGTCTGAGTTTTATTTTTTAGGGGGAAAAGTAAGAAATTTATTGTCAGATAAGGAGAAGGAAGGACGGTTCTCTGAGCAGAGAGGAGGCCTGAGCCCTAGGTCTTGAGTTTTAATCATGTCTGTCTAGTCCCTTCTGCAGGTCAGGTGACTTATTCATAGATTCTGAGGACGAGGTTGTGGAGTGTTTGGGGACCCTTTGGAACTGCCACACCTACTAAAAACAACCAGAAACAGTAACTTTTGGGAGCTTGCCACAAGTCACACTTTCTTCTAAGCGCCCTTTAGCTCATTTCCCCCGACACAGTCCTTCGAGATGCGTATTGTCTCCATTTCTGCAGACGAGACTCTTGACCAGAAAGGCTTCAGGGCTTGCCCAGGTTCTAAACCCAGGTGCATGTGACTTCAGAAACGGGGCTCCAAGCCCTTCAGCCTCCTGCTTCCCTTTGTAAAGACCCCGCCGAGGCTCGGTGGTGAGTGGATGGACCCGGGGCCACCCAGCTCGCCTGGGGGCAGTGGCATCAGTGCGGGCGCCCAGCCCAGTGCTCCCCTCACCGCAGCGGCCCCGGCGGCGGTCACCCTGTCTTGCGGGCTACTTCCTGTTGGGCATGGAAGAAAACACTTGACGTGCCTTAGCTAAGTGACTCAAGTTAAAATCCTAGATGTCATGGAACCTCCATCTCTCCCTCTTCACAGGGGAGGAGACTGAGGCTTGGGGAAATCACACGACTGTCCTCAGAGTCCACAGCTTGTGAGTGGACAGGCAGGGCTGGGGCCTGATGGCTGTTTTCTCGCCTCCAGAGCATCATGTCCCTGTGCAGCCCACCCTCCGGTCCTGTTCCCCCTCTCCCAGGGTCCTATTAGCCTCTTCTGTCTTCCAGATGCTGCCTGTAAGAAGTACATGTCCAAGCTGAGGACCACGGTGTCTGCCCAGTCTCGCTTCCTGAGCACCTATGACAGGGCAGAGAATCTCTGTCTGGAGGAAATATACACAGAGAATGTTCTGGAGATCCACACGGATGTGGGTGTGGCGGGGGCCCTGCAGAGGAGCCCCACCTTGCTGGGCCTGGAGGAGCTCTTCAGTCCCCACGACCACACCAACCAGGACGCGGATACGGTGCTGGTGGTGGGCGAGGCGGGCAGCGGCAAGAGCACGCTCCTGCAGCAGCTGCACCTGCTCTGGGCTCTGGGCCGGGACTTCCAGGAGTTTCTCTTCGTCTTCCCATTCAGCTGCCGGCAGCTGCAGTGTGTGGCAAAACCTCTGTCTGTGCAGACACTGCTCTTTGAGCACTGCTGCTGGCCCGACCTGGGGCAGCAGGATGTCTTCCGGTTCCTCCTGGACCACCCTGACCGTGTGCTCTTGACCTTTGATGGCTTTGATGAGTTCAAGTTCAGGTTCTCGGATAGCCAGCGGCACTGTTCTCCGACGGACCCCACATCTGTCCAGAATCTGCTCTTCAACCTCCTGCAGGGCAACCTGCTGAAGGGCGCCCGCAAGGTGCTGACCAGCCGTCCAGACGCGGTGTCAGCGCTCCTGAGGAAGTACGTCCGCATGGAGCTCAGCCTCAAGGGCTTCTCGGAGGAGGGCATCGAGCTATACCTGAGGAGGTGCCATCGGGAGCCAGAGGTGGCCGATCGCCTCATCAGCCTGCTGAAAGCGACCTCGGCGCTGCACGGCCTGTGCCACCTCCCTGTCTTCTCGTGGATGGTGTCTAAGTGCCACCAGGAGCTGCTGCTGCAGGGCGGGGAGTCCCTGAAGACCACTACAGACATGTACCTGCTGATCCTGCAGCATTTTCTGCAGCACGCCTCCCCGCTAGACACGGCTGCCCAGGGTCTGGAGCCCCGCCTGCTGCGGGCCAGGCTCCCCACCCTCCTGCACCTCGGCCAGCTGGCCCTCCAGGGCCTGGGCACATGCTGCTATGTGTTCTCGGCTCAGCAGCTCCAGGCGGCGCACGTGGACATGGAAGACATTGCCCTTGGCTTCCTGGTGCGCGCTGGGAGGGCATTGCCCGGGAGCACAGGGCCCCTGGAGTTCCTGCACATCACTTTCCAGTGCTTTTTTGCTGCATTCTACCTTGTGCTCAGTGCCGACATGCCGCCATCCTCGCTCAGACACCTCTTCAGCTGCCACAGACCAGGCAGCTCGCTGCTGGCCAGGCTGCTGCCCAGGATGTGTGTGCCAGGTGCGGGGCCCAAGGAGGGCAGTGTGGCAGCCTTGCTGCAGGGGGTCGACCCGCACAACCTCCAGATCACAGCGGCCTTCCTGGCGGGGCTGCTGTCGCAGGAACACTGTGGCCTGCTGGCTGAGTGCCAGGTGTCCGAGAAGGCCCTGCTCCGCCGCCAGGCCTGTGCCCGGGGATGTCTGGCCCGCAGCCTCCACAGGCACTTCCACTCCATCCCCCCGGCCGTGCCCGGGGAGGCCAAGAGCATGCACGCCATGCCCGGGTTCGTCTGGCTCATCCGGAGTCTGTACGAGATGCAGGAGGAGCGGCTGGCCCGGGAGGCCGTGCGTGGGCTGGATGTTGGGCACATCAAGCTGAACTTCTGCAGTGTGGGCCCCACCGAGTGCGCCGCCCTGGCTTTTGTGCTGCGGCACCTGCGGCGGCCCGTGGCCTTGCAGCTAGACCACAACTCTGTGGGCGACATTGGTGTACAGCAGCTGCTGCCGTGCCTTGGTGTCTGCAAGGCGCTGTAGTGAGTGCTACTGGGGGGCACGTGGGCGGGCTGCCGGGGGGCAGGCCGGGGGCACCGAGCTGGGATCTGCAGTCCAGGGCCAGCCCTGCCCTGCCACCTGTCCTGTGCACCCAGGCGGGTCCCTTCCCGGGGCTGGGCCTTGTTCCTGGTAGCAGCAGCCCAAGTGACAACAGTCATTTAGGGGGTGTCCAGTTGGCCAGGCTGTGCTGCATGCTTCCCGAAGTACCCCCTTCCATCTCCACAGCCCCCAGCACTGCAGGGGAAGGGTGTGGAGAGGGCTTCTGGTAGTAACTGAGGCTGCAGCAGCCTGGAATGGTGAGGCCTGGGCACTGGCCCTCGGCCCGGGCTCCCCTCCCTGTCTTGCCTTCTGCTGCATCTCCCACGGGCACTAAGGGGGTGCCTGCTAGGGTGGTTCACAGAACTCGGCCCCCAGGACCGAGGGCCAGGTGCAGGGGAGCCTGGATCTGTCCGGGTACCGGAAGGGATGAGCACATACTGTTTCCCTCGGGGGTGAACCACAGTATTTTTGCTCAGGAATGTGCGTTTTCCTAGATAGTGGACCCATAGTCCTCAGCCGGGTTCTCCAAGGGCCCTTGAACCCCAGGTGGTCAGGAACCACAGTCCTGGATGATCCCCCCAGGCCAGTCCTTTCCTGAATGAAGGGGACCCTCTCCGCAGTCAGGACAGCCCGTGCAACCCCCGTGGGTGGGTTGCAGAGGCACAAAGTGCCTGTCTCTGTTTCCAGAAGGAGGCGAGGTTGATGGTCCCGTGCTTAGACTCTGAGGGCAAGGGGCTTGTGGAACTGGATTCCTGGCCCTGTTCCTAGCGACCCCCACTCTGTAGCTGGAGGCGGGGGCCTGGGAATCTGTTTTTAACAAACATCACTAGTGATTTTGCTCCAAGTGGTGCAGACACCCCTGCGCAGGGTGTGGGAACCCACAGGGTTTTTTCCCCTGGCCACTGAAGTGCTTGCCCCGGCTGCCGCTCTTGCCTGGGCACCCTGTGGTGGTGACTCGCAGCACGTGGGGGTGGGGAGCAGCCATGAGGTTGCTGCGTGGGCATTTCCTGTGTGTGCATGTGAGGGAGACAGAGATGGGGGGCGGGAGGAGGGAGTGGGGAGAGAGCTCCTCTCCCCTGTGCAAGTGCCTCTCTCCACTTGGTGTTTCCATGCCGACCACATCACACCTCCAGGAGGCCCAGACACAGGTGCCTTCGCAGGGCTCTGTGGGCCTGGCCTGACTCTGGGAGGCTCCCGAGCTTCTTGCCTGTGGCCCACGGTGAGGGAGACAGACAGAGGGTGCAAGTGGGCGCCCAGGTGAAACTGAAGCTTCCCGAAATGACTTTCCCTTTAACTGATGCACTCTGCTCGCTTCTTCTGTTCTTTTTCCATTTTAAAAACGCTGCTGAGGACCTTCAGAGCTGATTGTGAGTCAGCAAGAGCCCATGACCTGGAGCCCAGACAAGGGCGTGGGGAGGGGCCCCGCTGTGTCCAGGGCGGGCTCTGCAGCCAGACCGCCTGGGCCCAAACCCTTCGGGGGCTGAGCTACCCCGGCAGCCACTTCACCTGTCCGTGCCTCATTCTTTCTACCACGTCACGGGCTGTGAGCGTTAAATACCATTTCCACCGGGACGCGCTCAGGACAGCACCGCGTGCGGACTCCATGGAGGGGCTGGCGATTACAGGTGCCCTCCCGTGTGCCAGCTGCCCACAGGCTTCCCGCGCATGTCCCTTTAAATGCTCCCTGCCACCCCCAACCCCAGTCCTCATTCCCTGTTCATAGATGAAGAGACCAGAAAATCGCTAGTAAGTGGGTGCTCAGGATCGGAACTTCCACTGAGAGTCCAGGGCCTGAGTTCTTGACCTTGACGTAAGGGCCTCCCAAGTTTGCACAGTTGTTAAATACACAGATTCCTTGTGATCGCCCCTGCCCCTCCCCACCAATGGAACCCTCAGCTCCAGGGAGGGGCCTGAGAGTCTATTTTAGGGACACTTGTGATGGGGTGACATGGGAGTCGTACCCCTGGAGGGGCTGGCCTGCCAGCAAGGGCGGCGGCGCGGGCTGTCAGGCCTCTGAGCAGACCATTCTGGTTTTCCAAACTCGGGCCACTCTTCCCTAAGTGTCCGCTGGAGGCTCACCTAACCGTCTGGGGTAACCGCCGTTGCCCCCAGGGGTAGCCTGTCTAGTTCCTGCTGCACCTTTCCCAGCTCAGAAGCTGGTTCTCACTTCCTCTTTACCGAGTTGGAAATTGTGCCTGAGGTTAGGTCAGTGACTCTCGTGTGTCCAATCTTCTTAGTAAGGGCCCTGGGTCCCCCGCATCGTAGCAGCAGCACCCTGGCCAGGGATGGGGGAGTCCCACTTTCCTGGGGTGCTCAGTCCTTACCGTATGTTCCCGAAGCATGTTGGGAGTAAGCAGAAGTCTGTTTTGAGATTTCGTTCATCTTTCTCTCATCAGCTCTGTTTTCAAGTTTCTTTTTCCCTCCTCAGCTTGCGAGATAACAACATCTCAGACCGCGGCATCTGCAAGCTCGTGGAACGCGCCCTGCACTGCGAGCAGCTGCAGAAGTTAGCGTAAGTCGGGCGGGCATGGCCTGGGCCCTGCGTCCCCAGCCCCACTCCAGGCCCTGTCCCCGGGCAGCAGCCCTGGGAGTGAAGGCCTGGGCCGAGTGTTTGCAGGCGGGGTCTCCTATCCTGGGGGGAAGGCACCCCCAAGTTTGGGCAGCCCTGTCCTCTGTACTCTCTCTTCTCTCGCACTTTCCAGGCTTTTCAACAACAGGCTGACGGACGGCTGTGCACACGCCATGGCCAGGCTCCTTTCGTGCAAGCAGAACTTCGTGGCCTTGAGGTGGGTCCAGGACTTCCCTATTCCCTGAAGACAACTTTCCCCTACAGCGAGTCAGCCTGGTGTGGCCTTGGGCGGGCTCGGAGTCGTCTGGGCAGTTTCTTCTGTTGTGGGGGTTTTGCTAAAGCTGTGACCTTCCCAGCAACTGTGGACCAGCCTTCCTGCCCTTTGACTACTACCTACCCCTCGGCCCCTGAGGGTTTCCAGATCCTTCTCGTTTGCTGTGTCTGAGTGTCCAGGCTCTCTGGCCCTGATGCACAGGGAGAACCCACTGTGGTAGCTGTGCGGCCACCACTTGCACCTCGACGGTGACGAAGCCCCTTCAGAACGTTCTTTCCTGAATGGCTGGTGGGGGTGTGCAGGTCAGTCTGTGAAACCTGCACTTCTGCTGCTCTCGACCCTCCCTCACCCAGAGGTGAGATATCAACCACCGGCAGCGATCTCCTTTATCATGAAATTGCCCCTCCAGATCAACCCTGTGTTCCTCTCTGGGACATTCTCGCCCCCTGGGTTTTGAGGCCGGAGACGAGATCGAGTGAAGACTGCCCAGACTTACAAGCCCGAGGGCGACTGTGGTCACCTCGGGCTGACCCAGTACCACGAGGCTGTAGGTTTGCAGAAAGGGCCAGACTCCGAATTTGAGGCCTGTTTTTTTTGACTCACAGTGTTGTAATTGAGAGTCCTGGAGTTCTGGAGCCAGGGCAGCTGAGGTCAGAGTCCGGGCCCTTGAGATTTGGATCCTCATACACTGTGTGACCTTGGGGGTCAGCCCCACGTCGCTGTGCCTCTTTTGCCCGTCTGTAAAATGAGGAGAATAGTGGCAGCTACTCATAGGTGGTTGTGCTGGTGGGAAAGATCAGTGGCGGAAAGATTGTGGGTGAGCCACGTAAGTTCTCAGCCTTTTTGTCCAATGTTAGTTCAATTTCCCAGTAGGCACTGGAGTACAACAAATTCATGGGTGCTGTGCCTATGAGGGGAAGTGGGGGAGGGCTGGAGGAGTCTGGGAGTGTTGGGCTGCGGTGCAGGCCTGAGCTGAGCTAGTCAGAAAGTCTGGAAGAAGCATCTTATACTTCAGTGTGGTTCTGAGTGAGCAGGAAGGCCATGGGCAGGGTAGGGGGGTTGGGGAGGGGCTGCAGCCAGCCAAGCTGGCCCAGCAGAGGAGTCCCTTGCGTCTGGACTGGCCAGGAGGAGCCGGTGGGAAGTGGCCTTCATGCAGAGGGGAGCTGGATTCCCAGCAGAGCTGCCTCAGCCCTTAGCTACACCTTGTTGGCCTGAAGTCTGAGAGACTGCCACACCCCTTCTTGAAGGGACTAATAAGAGCTGGCCTAGAGGATTGTTGTGAGCCAAAGTGGCGTGACGGGTGGGAACATGCTTGGAAAGAATGAAGTGTTGGGCCTCCCTGGTGGCACAGGGGTTAAAGTCTCTACACTATCAAGCTATCACCAGCCACTGAGGCCTGAGTTCAATCCCCGACCAAGTAGCTGACCCACATGGCGCGGCAGACCTCTCCTGTCTCGCCCGCTGCTCCCCTCAGCAGTGGATTTCAGTGGATCCGCCTGTTCTGCTCCCCACTCTGTCTCTGGTGAATCCTTTCACCCCCCCAACACCTCTGCCCTACACCCCAGTTCTTGTATGCATAAATAAATAAAAATAAAAATATTTTTAAAAATATTAAAAAAAAAAAAAATAACGAAGAGTTATTCCAGGAAGCCCGGGCTGTGGCTGTGAGTTCTGGGGACCTCTTGTGAAACCCTCTGTGGTGTCTGGATCTTTCCAAAACCCCTTCCCAAAGGCTCAGCAGGATCCCCTCTGCTCTCCCAGCCACCTGGCCTGCCCCAGGTGCTTTCGATGCAGGTGAATGATATCTGCCGCGGCAGTGGATGTGGGGAACCTGCAGGGTCATGCCCGGAGCCTGACCAGTTCCCGGGGGAAAGGTGACAGTGCCTCACACAGCTCCCCAGGGGAAACCGCCTCCCGGGACAGTGGCCTAGTGTGGCCCCGACCTGTCACGCTCCTTTGCAAAACTAGCCTTTTCACCCTTTCCTTTCGCTGGTGAAAATGCAGTCATGGGGGCCACTGCGGAGCCCTGAGCTGCAGGGACATCTGCTTTGGGGAGAGCTCAAGGCTTCTGTCTGTGTTTCTCTGCACAGGCCTCGCTGCCCTCCAGGCTGGGCCTTCAGGGCACGCACAGGCCTCAGGTCCTGCTCTCTGTCTTCCTTTCTAGGCTGGGGAACAACCACATCACAGCGTCAGGAGCTGAGGTGCTTGCCCAGGGGCTCAGAGCCAACGCCTCCCTGCAGTTCCTGGGGTAGGCTGTGTTCGAGGCCAGGGGGCCCAGGTGGAAGGGTTTGGGGATTGGGGGCCCTTAGGGGCAGGTGAAGCTCTTGAGCCACAAGGCCCCAGAGGCAGCCTGGCCACCATGGGAGGCGAGTGGGCAGGAGAGAGTGGGCGGGAGAGAGTGGGCGGCCCTTCGATGCCTCAGCACTTGCTTCTTCACTTGATAAACAGGAAGTTCAGGCTTGGGGGTGGCAGTGCCCAGGGTGAGGGCAGGAAGCTCACTGGGCCTTGCTAGGGCTGTGCCTCCCGCCTTTGTGAGTCCAGGAGTCTGTGAGCACAGTGGAGCCCCTGGAGAGCTCCCGGTGCTGGACTCCTCGCATGAAACAGCTGGGTGCACAGCCCAGAAGCCGCCATTTTAAAAAAGTTCCCCCGGGGAATGGGAACCGAGGACAAAGAGGATGAGGATGGAGACTGGAAGCAGGATGGGAGGAAGCCAGTCTTCAGAGCTCCTGCTTGCCGGCGGGTGTTGCCAGGCCCTGCCGGGGGCAGCAGAGGAGGCAGACACAGCTGGGAGGGCAGTCCTGCCCAGGGCCCTGGTATGAACTGGGACCCATGTGACAAGAATGGGGTTTTAGAACCCAAGACTTCGGCAAGAGCGACTAACTTGAGGTCCAGGGTTTTCTGGCCCATTTCAGGACAGGCCTGGCGCCTACAAGCTCAGCTGGAGCCAAGAGTGGGACAGTCTATTTGGAATTCGCATCTTTCCCAAGCTGCATTCGTCGCAGCAGAGAGGAGAATGGGGGTGACCACAGCCCCACTGGCTGTCTCCTGCCTGAGGTCACGTCCCGCACAGTCAGTGTATTTCTTTTCCAGCACATATTTATTTAAACACTTGTCTGGGGCAGGCATTTGGCTGAAATGCCCAGACACTATCATATGATACAAATTGTTCTTTAATTTGCTTTTTTTCCCCCTATCATATAGGCATCTTTTCAAAGCTCATGACCTCACTTTCAAGTGAACGGTTGCATGGTACTCCATTGCTTGGATGCCTGTAATCCGTTGAGCGGGTCCTGTGTTGATCACACTTAGTTTTTTGCTGTCACATTCCTGGGGCAAACAGCCAGAGCCCAGCAAATATTTACCTAGTGGCCGAAAGTGCACTCAGCATCCCAGCCATCTCCGCTCACTTGCGCAAACACACATCAGGCTCACTTCCTGTGTGGAACATAGTCTGGTTTTCAAGGTGTGAGCTGGGCTCCATCTTTGCAAAGGGATGTTTCCAGATGACAGTGGGTTTGAGGAGGATGATCCAGAGGCGAAGGCACCATGAACGGACTGCGCATGTTCAGCAGGAGCAAGAGACAAAGCGCTTGCTTGTGGAAAACGAGACTCATTCTGTGTGGTCCCAGGAGGTAGTTAAGGACATGTGGGTGGCTGTTACCAGGAAGCAGATCTGACCTAGATGTCAGGAAAATGTCACAACTGTGTTGACTGCCTTGCAAGGGGCCTTCTCTGTCCCGGAGGGTATGTGCTGGGTGGGCCCCTGCTATTCTAGAAGTCTGTTCTGAAGCCAAATATGAGTCCATTTGCCCATCCCATTAAAAAGATGGAGACGGCCCATTTGGCTGCAACCTTGGCACTCACTGACACCTTTCTGGGACTGGCAGGCCTGCCCTCCCCGCAGGCGTGGACGGGGGCACTGTTAGGACACAGAGGATACTCAATGATTCTATGTCTTGACTCTGTTGGCCTTTTCAGGTTCTGGGGCAACAAGGTGGGTGACAAGGGTGCCCAGGCCCTGGCTGAAGCCTTGGGTGACCACCAGAGCTTGAGGTGGCTCAGGTAAGCTTCGCATCTGTCCTGCGGTTGTGATGGGGGAGCTGGCATGAGAAGGGGGCACCTCTCCCTTAGGGAGGAGGGAGAAAGACCGGAGTCAGGAGCTTGAGTCCTTCACAGTGACCTTGGACCTGTCCCTTCCTGCTCGGGGGCCGAGCCCCTGTCTGTGAATGCAGATCTTGGGCTGGATTCCGCGAGTGTTATCTCAAGTAGTAGCTGCCCAGGGCACCATGTTGGAAAAGATTTTAAGGCTCCTCCTGGGCTTGTAAAAAAGAATGTTGTAACCAGTGAGTGATGCCTCCAAGTGGAGCCAGGGCGAGCGGGACTATGTGGGCCTTGCATTTGGGTCTTCATGAGCTAGCTTATCTCTGAGGTCCCTGCTCTCACATGTTTTTTTCTTCCACAATTACATCCAGCCTGGTGGGGAACAGCATCGGCAGTGTGGGTGCTCAGTCCTTAGCACTGATGTTGGAAAAGAACGTGGCGCTGGAAGAACTCTGGTGAGTTTGGGGACTTGCTAGCTCGGGGAGGTGGGCAATGGCTTCCTCTTTTCCTAGCCTCACCTGTGGAATAGTTGTCATTAGGTGATTGTCTTTGTTTTTCTCTGCCCTGATGCCAGGAAGCTTAAAGAGCCTGGCACATGGGCGCTGTTCTTCTCCTTTGTTTACACGTCTTGCTTATTTGGTGTGTTTACCGCCTCCATGTGGCATGATGGCGATGATCACAGGCTCCGGGACCCAGCAGGCTGAGTTTCAAGGCCTGACTGGGATTTTTGGCAAGTTCAGTAACCATCTCCAAACCTCAGGTTTCTTATATATAAAATGAGACGAGGAATGCTTCCATTCACAAAACGCTTTTAAGAAGCGGCTTGAAGAGCTTAATGTAGGCCGGGCATATGTGCAGGTCTCTGTGGGAAACAAACGTGATGTGGCCACGTTGGTAGCACGACTGCTGGACTTGCTCTCCAAGGCCCAGACTGCTGCTACCCCGTGTCGTCTGTTAACTCAAGGTTAACTTATATTAGAGCCGACTCACCCGGAAGGCGCCGAGGAGTTGGGGGAAGTTAAAGGATCAACTGTGCTTCGTGTTGACCCTGTTGATCTGAACCTGATCCCGCCTCGCTCGTCCTTCAGATACTGTCGTAAAACCTTCCTATGACATGTCCTGGACAGCTCCAAACTATATCATGCAGATGAAATGCTGTTGATTTCTCCTGGTAGCAGAAAGGCACTGACACCTATGAGCGTCGCCACGAAATAGGCACACGGCCAGGCCTTGGCTGCGACAGGGCTCACAGGCTCAGCCAGTTCACTGAGGTTGTGTCCCGGGTGGGTTTTGTCACTCGTGGTTCTTTCTTGATGCACACCTCACCGTGAGTGCATCCCTGTGGCTACATTGTAGATGGCAAGTGACAAAAAACCTCCATCTACAGTGGCTTAAGCCACAGGGCTTCTTTGGTCATGTCCGGGCAGTCTGGAGGTTGGCAGCACAGGGCCGGTAAGGAGGCTGGCCAGGACCAGCAGGCCTGGACTCTGCTTCTCTGTCCCATCATCCTCGGTCTTGGCCGGTGGCCTCACAATCACAACATGGCTGCAGTGTGCACAGCATTCCCTCTGTATTCCAGGCGTCAGCTTGTATATCCTGAAGGGCAAATGGCACACGCAAAAGGCACAGGGTCTCCCCCCTTTAATGACCATCCCCCGTAGTCCCATCGGTCAACTTGGCTTTGTGTGCTGATGGTCACACAGTGTCACTTGGGCCACCCTGGCTGCAAGGGAGGGTGGTGAATGTCATCTTTTCACCAAACATAAGCTGCCCAAATGAAATTCGGCTTCATTAGTAAAGAAGGGAAAGTGGATATCGAGTAGCTGGGACATGAGGGAACTTCTTGTGGAGAGGAGACCTGGGCAGATTAGTTCCCCAAAGTGCCCTGGAACTGCGAATCCACACGCTGTGCTTTATCTGGTCTTCCTTTATCTGTAAATGCAGATTTTCAGATGTTGGCTTTTCTAAATGGGGAGCATGTGGGTTAATCTTTATTGACATCATCTTCCATAATAAACGTTACCATGTCAACTGAGTTTTCTCTCTCATGCTTGCCAGCCTGGAGGAGAACCATCTCGGGGATGAAGGTGTGTGTTCTCTTGCCAGAGGCCTTAAGAGAAATTCAAGTTTGAAAGTCCTGAAGTAAGGAAGCCGCGAGCAGGAGCCGGGGCAGTGGTAACCGTGCTTGGAAGGGGTTGTTTCTGAATCAGATACGTGGGCACCTGCCCACCTGGCTAACTCACACGGGGTGACCTCCTGGGGGCAGCTGGTATTGTCTGGCCTCCCCCCAAAGCCCAAAGCAGACAGCGATCCCAGGGCAGGCTGTTCACTTGGGAAGGGTTCCCAGCAAACACTGGTGAGAGGAAAATGAAATGAGGCGGGAAGTTAAGTATAGAACATGCCAAACTTTGTTTCATTCTTGTTCTTCATGAGGTGAGCACTCTTTTTGGTCCCCTTTACAGATGAGGAAATTGGCTTGAAATGAAAAAAAGTAAGGGGTTGAACCCAGGAAGCCTGGCACTAATGTGCACGTCCTTAACGACGATACGTCCCAAAGGAACAGGTGCTGCATTAGACACAAGGGCCTGGTCAGTGGAAGAGAGAGGGCACTTCACCTCAGTCACTGAACTTTGTGGCTGAGCTTGTTGGGAATCTCAGACTGGAGAGGGACCCTGCAGGGGCCGATGGGCTACAGCAGGCCAGCCAGTTCCCAAAGCCCCCTGGACTGGCCTGAGCCCAGAGGACACCCGAGCGTCCTTGAAGCTCACTGTGGCAACTTCCCTCCAGGCTGTCCAACAACTGTGTCACCTGCCGAGGAGCGGAAGCCCTCCTGCAGGCCCTTGAAAGGAATGACGCCATCCGGGAAGTCTGGTAAGGCCCCCGAACCGCCTTTCTCTCTGGACCTCAGTTTGCCTATATATGAAACAAGGGTGATGGGAGAGAGAAACTGGAGCATCCCAAGACCCCTTCTGGCTCTGCCATGCAGGGCCCCTGGGCCTGTGTCAGATCTGGTTCTCAGCTGGAAAGATCCCTGCCTCTCTAAGCGACCTTTCCTAAATTATGGGTGCTTACTGTAAGAGCAGGAGGCCAGGGGTGGGGCTGTGGTCCAAGAAAGACACTGGGGAGAGGCAGGGCATCCGCCTTCACACAGTTTTGGTGCCTGGATTAGACCCTCGGCAGTTCTGGGCAAAAGTTATGCAGCCTCGGGACCATGGGCCACGCAGCCAGGCCTGCGTAACCAACAGCCATGCTCCTTCATCTGTTTGGAGAAGCCTTGAGTCACAGCTTCCAAGTTGTGTCTGCCTCTTTCCAGGGATATATCTGTTGCTCAGATAATAAGTAGAGAGGCTCCCCCCAGTTTCACGTTATGAGTGAATGTTACTATATATGTTTCAGGCACTGGGCTAGAAACCAGTATTTAAAATCTAGCGGTTCCCTATAAAAGCTGGACTTCAGGATTTTCCCAATAAAGCTGCCAAATCTGCTACTTAAGCGGAGTAGAGAGGACAGACCCCACTCAGCTGGGCTGGCGGCCTACTGACAGGAGGCCCTGGACATGCTTGTCTTGCACGTTTTCTGCCTGCTTTTGGCTGCTGTCCATAACCTGCTGCATCCCCGGGGTCTTGTGACCCCCACTTTAAATATGCAGACTTACCCTTCTCTCAAAAAGCATATCAAGGTGGCAGCAACTGTGGCTGTCAAAGGATGAAGTGAAAAATAAAGGCCTCTTCACATGGCCTGTGATGGAGAGCTTTCTTCTGCATCCTGGCGGCTTGTTTCTCCACACACCATGGCTCAGAGGCGTCCTGTGTGGTGGAGGGCAGGACCCATGCTAACTCCCCTCCCAGAAGGGCTGCAGTGAAGCTCTGGGCACGTGTAGGAAGCAGCAGCTTCCACCTGATCTGTCCTCACATGGTCCTCTCTTTGCTTCACCCCCCAGGCTCCGAGGAAATGCTTTCTCTCCAGAGGACGTGGAGCAGCTCTGTCGCAGGGATGCCAGGCTCTTGCTCTGATGACCCTGGGCCACGCTCATCTTCGCCTGTTAGTGAGCAGCCTGTGGGTTTGGATCTGGCAGCTGCGTGGCCTCTGGCGGCAGCCCTCAGACAGGCCCTGTCCTGCCTTGCCTGGGGGCACACACAGGTCCCCTCTGTTTGGAAGAGGAAGGATATTGTCTCTGCAGAATAGACTTTTCCAAAGCCTAGTTTTGCCACCAAATTCTTCCCAAGATTCAATCCATGGGATGTCCAGGAGGGACAGCACCCCCAATATCATGGGGCCAACAAGTGTGGACCAGTGTGGACTGATTGTCAGTGAGGCCCAGGGGTGTGGCCTCTTGGTGTAAAGATGCGGACTCCCGTGCAAGGCCCCTGCCCCTGCTTGCTCAGTGAGGATGGGTACACGGGGAGCAGCCTTCTGCCATGTCTCACCCCATGGGCACAGATCCACGTTGTTTCTCACATCGGGCTCCTCGCCTCAATCCTGGACCTGGGCATATGGCCCGTCCTCTGTGGATAAGGGCTCAGAATACTGGGGTGGTCTCAGCATTGCTAGCTGCTTAGTAGCTACCTGCTCCCCCTTCACCCCCCAGGAAGGAAGGGGCTACAGTTTACTGTGTTCTCGCTTCTGGCATTTAAGACATTATTGGAAGCTGTCATATTCTCCAAGACATTCTAGATTTGCAACGAAGATATGACCACTATGGCTGTTATGACATGGACTTTTGTTTCAGTAAAATCAATTATTCTTTGGTTAAATCTTTGGAAACTAGCGTCATCTGAATGCAGCTTTTTAAGATTAATCTGGGCCAGCATTCTGAAGGGTCCCACTAGGCCTCTAGTGGATGCCTGTGTCTGAACTCTGGCAGCAGACTTCCAAGATGTACTCAAAAGAGATGCTTCCATTTTATTTGTGCCAGAATGCTTTAGGACATCAAGGTATGGACCCCAAATTTACAGGGGTGAAATCAAAGGCCTTTCTTTACAAAGCGAATGTTTTTCTGGATTTTTAAAAAGTGATGTCTGTTGAAGAAGCCTTTGTAAACCATCAGGGGCTGTGCAAGTGTTATTATTTTAAACATTACTATTTATGAAAACTGATTAATATTTATAACCCCCTTTGTTTTATTCTTCCAAGCTTGTATTTTTATAAATAACATGAGCATGAATTTTGTGCTGTAAGTAACCTCAGAGGAGAAAACTGTTCAGTCACCCAAGCTGCCATCATTGTGACCAAACAATGAAAAATATTCCTGAAAGTTGTCAAATATTAAAGCTCAATTTTCTACTTGAAGGAGGAAAGCGGTGTTTTCGACCAGATAATTTATTGCTGAAGGCAAAAGCAATTCTCAGAACTAGCGTTGCAATCAAAACACGTTTGGCCTCGGCTTAGAAGGAGTGTAACCCAGCGTGAGGCCTTAAGCTGGGTTGGGGCCTCCTGGTGTCCAGCTGAAAGGCTGTGGCAAGTGTGAAAGGGCCCCTGGGCCTTGCGAGTCTCCCAGAGACTTCAGGAATCTAACAGAGAAGGAAGGAGAAGATGGGAAATAGCTCTCCTCTGTGAGCGCCCCCTCAGTAGGCCTGGTTGAAATAATTCTTAGCTGCATTTAATGAGCAAGGGCTCAGGTGCTCACCAGAGAGAAATCGACTTCCCTGCGAGGCTGAGTGTGTGTCTGGCTCACTAAGTGCCTCGACTTCTCTCTGGGCCCTGCCTGTGAGCCGGCCATGGGCTCTCTTTGTTGGTGGTGCTGGCTTCTGTCCAGACCAGGTTCCTGATTCCCAAGAGCAGGAGGAAGATGGAGAGGCGCCTGCTTTCTCTGAGGGGTAAACACAGCAGCGCGTTTGCAGAGCGCCATCTTGGATTGTAAATTTATCTGCCTTAGGTTCATCCAGCAATTATGAACTAGCCAGACATTAGCACAGTAGGTAGATGAGCAAGACAGATGTGATCCCTGTCCTCAAGCACTTGGGGTGAGGGGAGAGGGAAAGGCAGGCAGAAAACAAATGGAAAATATATCGACTTGAGTCTACTGTGGTGCGAAGAAGGAGACACAAGTGCAGGTAGATGGACCCTTCTGCAGATGAGGCACTGGGACAGGCTGTGAGGGGGTGACAGGTGAGCAGGTGAGCCATGACCCCAAGAGTGGGAAGGGACTGGCCATGCAGAGGGAGGGGATGAGGCATAAGGCACAAGCTGTGCAAAGACCCCATCAGGGGAAGGAGCTTGGTACATGTGGAAGGCTGAATAATGGTCCCCCAAGATAACTGTGCTGTCATTCCTGGAAGCCGGGAATATTGGCAAAAAAGAACTTAAATTAAAGATGTACTTCTGGACCACGAGATGAGTCCTGGGTCTGAGGCTGGACCCAGAGGTGACCACAGTGTCATTGCTAGAGAGGCAAAGGGACAAGGGCCCGGGCAGCCATGGGGCCTCGGCAGTGAGATGCTTCCATGAGCAGGCAGGGGCTCATGGCCCAGGAACCGACTCCAGAAGCTAGAAAAGGAAAGAAATGGATTGGCTCCCGGAACCTCGAGAGGGAGGGCAGCGCATCTTGGTTCCAGTGAATTTTTGACTTCTGGTCTCTAGTACTGTGTCGTTTTAAGCCACAGATTTGTGGGAATTTGTCATGGCAGCCATAGGAGGCGAATTTGGTATGTCTGAGGCAGGCTAAGTGGCATGGGCCTGCAGAGGCAGATGGACCAGTCACAAAGGGCCTCATTGGTAGGTTTGAGTCTCACCTTCATCCTGGAATGACAAGTCTGAAGGAGAGTTCTAAGCTGGGGAATTGCAGCCTAATTACATTTAAAGATTTCTTTTGCACGGGGCACAGACGGGAATGTATAGGGGTAGGGGTGATGGGAATAGGATGTGGGGAACTACCTAGGAGCTATTGCAGAGGAGAGGCAGTTGGTTGGCTCAGTGGAGGTGGAAAGAAGATCCTGGAAAGTCTAGAGAGGGGTTTACATATGGGTTGGATAAGAGGGGTGAGGAAAAATGATGCCCAGATTTCTGACTTGAGTAATGGGAGCACTGGGAGAGAAAGGTAGCAAACAGGTTTGCAAGTAGGAGGCGCTTCTATTTTGATTATGGACTTTGAAACACACAGACAAATTACGGTGTGAATCTGGGGCCCGGGGGAGCCCTCCCGTGATGGCATGGGTGTTGGTTGTCAGCATCAAAAGGGAGTGAGGGTGCTTGGGTCTGGATGATAAAACCCAGGGAGCAGTGATAGAGAAAGCAGTTCAAGAGACCTTGGAGAGGGTGGTGCTGAGACCTTGATTTGCCATCAGAGTAGAAGTTTTCTAACTTTGGGAAGTGCAGCAGATCCACCGACAGCATTCTAGGCCTGTGCGGGTACCTCGTGAACTGGGACTCTTTTTTTTTTTTTTTTTTAAGATTTATTTATGCGTACAAGAACTGGGGTGCAGGCCAGAGGTGCAGGGGGTGAGAGGATTCACCAGAGAGAGTGGGGAGCAGAACAGGTGGATCTATTGAAATCCACTGCTGAAGGGAGCAGCGGGGAGACAGGAGAGGTCTGCTGTGCCATGTGGGTTGCGGCCTGGGATCGAACTTGTGCTAAAGTGGCTGGCCATAGCGGTAGCGTGATAGCGCTGTCTTTAACCCCTGCGCCACCAGGGAGGCCCCGGACTGGGACTCTGAAAGTCCCCCAATAGGGAGGTTACCTGAAAGGTGTGTGCCAGGGCCCACCCACATCTTAGCCAAGAGCAGACACATTCCAGACTTGCAGCGAGGAATACATAACTCTTATGAACAGAAAAGAAGGTGTCGGAGCAGGAACATTTTTAAGGATTCTTCGACTTTAATTATAATCACCATCATCCAAGAAGAAAAAAATATCAATTTAAGTGTTTCCCCCCATGGTGCCAAAACAAGTTGCTGAAATGAGTACACCCCACGGAAATGTGGGGGGGCGGAATCACATTCCAGGCTGGCTGAGTTGAGACTACAGCATCATCGCATTATTGCACCAACACATCTTCACACCTCCCTCCCCACCCAGGAGACTGGCACAGCCAGTGGGTGAAGCGCGCAGCTGTCGGGCACACTGGCGCAGCCCACGCAGGCCCGGGCGCATGGCCTTGGGCCCGGGGTGGCAGGTTATAGGTGAACTGCTAGGTCAGGACCAGCCCACGTAGTTTCCCTCAAGGAATGACCTGGAGTGACTACACCTATGCAGCCAAGGTCTTTGGAGTTCCCTGGTCTCCCCCCTTTTTGCTCTACATTTAATCCCAACCTCCAGTCACTTTCTCAATAAACCACAAATCCTATCCCCCAAGTATCATCAGTCATCTTGCAAATCCTTCCTCTCTCCGGAGACTGTATGTTCCCTTTTTACTTGGAGCAACTTCTTTCTTGATATCCTCACTCCATGCTCCCCTCCTACTTCCCTACTAGCCTCCAGCCCTGGGGCAAAGGGGGCTCCTCTGGGGTCCACAATGCCTAACTAATGCCTCCCTCGTCTCCTGGCTGTTCTCCCTGCTTCCGCCCTTGACCTGGGGAGTGAATCCTTTAAGCCCTGAGTCAGATCAGCCTCGGCTCTCGGATCTTGACTCTGAGGATGCAGGAGTCAAGGCCTCCTGCTGGCCTGTGCCACCTGTTTCTCGGTTTCACCCATACTCCCGCTCTCTGCCCTCCAGCCTCGCCCGTTCTTTCTCGGCAATGCTGCTTGCAGCCCCCACTCTCGCCTGCTTCCCCTTCCAGGAACCCCTTGGTGGGGGGCATGCTAGCTTCCTTATTTGTTCAGGTTTGGTTCAAATGTCCCCATACCCAGGGGTCCTCCCCTGGATGATCCACACAACACATCAGTTCCAAACACTTCCTCTCTGCCTGCTTCTGTTTCTCCCTCACCCCGGAATATCTGCCCCACAGGAGGACCGGGGCCTTGCTCCTCAGAGGTAGAACACAGCCCAGAGCATAACAGGTGCCCAGATATTTGTTGAATAAATCAAGACTACATCTTATTTAAAGGGCGCAGAAAGTAGAAGTCGGACGGATTATAACAACACACGACTTTTCTTCCCGACACCGGTAATGTCCCTTTCCCAAGGGAAGAAGGTGTCCTGGGACATAGGCTTGTTCCTAAAGTACCTACTGCTCCAAATGGGATTCCAGACCCAGCACGAAGGTCCCCATGAAGAGCATTAAGCGCCCTTTCTCTCTCTGTGTTCTTCAAGTCATGCAGAAATCATTTGACATCGATAGCAGCGAATCGCTCCAGCAGGCGAACCTGGATTTATCCTTCAGCCGCCTTGGTGGAGAGATGCCTACAGGAATCCCTGTGATCTTGTCCGGAAGAGCTTTCAGGTGAACGAGTCAAAGCCCAGACAGAATGTTCACTCGCGCCTGAGTGTCCCTCCTAAGGGCTGTCACCCCGAGACAGAGAGCTCTCCGCTCACCCCTGGATTGAGACGCATGCCGGCTGGGCTCCCGGCGGAGAGGAGAGGGTGAGCAGTGCCCTTCGCGAGGAGATGCCCACTCGGTCACCCCGCGGCTGGGAGAGGGTGGGAAAGGGCTGGGAACACGGAGGTGGGCAGGGCAGAAGGACCGTGGGCTGCGTGCAGGGGAGAGGCTGCGCAGCAAGAGGGGATGCAAGACACCCGAGTTCAGTGAGCCTGGGGATGGGTGTGTGACCGGCCCAGACTCAAGAGAGCAGGTCCTTTGCTCTTCTAGGGAAGACTTCCCTGGTGAGCACTAGATCAGGCGAGGCTGAGGGAGAGACTCAGCTGCGGGAGCCAGGAGCAGGAGCCAGTGCAGAAAGGGGAACTTGGCTGGCTGCGGGCAGGCAGCTGCAGGAGGTATTTATAGGACAAATCCCCAAGCTGGATGGAGGACAGCAGTGTCATAACTTGTTCTGGGCTGGGCTGTGGCATGCGTGGACAGGTTGCACTCCAGCTACACACGTGGGCCCCTGGCTTCCCCCTCTGGAAAACTGTGAGGTGATTGTTAGTTAGGATCTAACACTTTTTGTCTAACATGGTGCCTCATGGTAAGGCGGGGAGGGTTTGGACAGACTTTTGGGACAGGGCTTGCCAACCCACGATTCAGTCCACCTGTTCAGCAGGCCTTGGCCAACTCTAGTGCTTGGACTGTCTTTTCCCCAGGCTCTCTCAGGAGCAGCCTGTGGTAACCAGCAGGGGCAGGTGCTCCTGAGAAGGTCCTGTTGAGCCTGGAGTTGGTGTGAGTCATGGGCCCCCGCCCGGTTACCAGGTGTTTACTAGCCGTGTGTGTGTGTGTGTGTGTAGGATAGGGGAGAGGGCTCCTTTAAATCCAATGGCTTGTTTGGGTTTTCGCTGTGTGTAACAGGAGAACCATGAAGACAGCTGAGACACAGGTAATTGGCCTGCATGAAACCCTTCAAAGCATCCCACTGCTCCAGGGAAGACTGACCCCTGACCCTGGCTCGAAGACCCCGCCCGACCCCCTTTCGCGTCCATGCATTCTGTGCCCTGCCTCTTTCACTTCCTTCAACCTGTCATGCACATTCCCATACACTTTGCCTGGAGTGTTCCCCCCTTGCTCCCAACTGCCAGTCAGCTTCCTATCTCATCTGAAAGGTGCTTTCCTCAAAAAGTTCCTCCCTGACCGCCCAGCCGCTTTATGTGTGCTCAGAGCTGCTCTCCTTCAGAGAACTAACCTAAGTATTAAGTAAGTGATCTTGTGATAGAGGGCTGGGATGACATCACTCTTGAATGCTGCTGTATTTCCTGGTACATATGCAGTAGCTCAGGTGACATTTTTGAACCCGGGGCCAGGCTGAGGGCAACAGGCAGTGGATAGACAGCGGTGATCACCGGGGCCTGGAGCCATCTGCGAAGAACCTTGGAAGAGGCTGGACTTTGGCTGGGCCTTAAATGAAGGGAGGATTTGAAAGACAGAGAAGCTGAGAATTTGGGTTGGAGAATTTATTTAGAAAGAGATGAAAAGGGCCCTGGTTTGAAATCAGGAGAATCAGAGTGTCTGCTTAACTCCTGGGTGGTTGGGAACGCATTTTCTCTTTTTTGGACCTTACTCTCCCATCTGTAAAGTGAGAGGTTGGCTTGTTGAGGGCTGCAGATAATAGCACTGTGACCTGATTCCCCCATCTCATCCCCTGGCTGACACCTGGCTTCCCTGTAAAGCTGAATACAGCTTCAGAACTGTTTTGACCACAGTGCTTTCGATGAGCATTACCGTTTGACAGGGGATGGTGATTGAGGTAAGCCCTGATTATCAGGGCCTTAAATGAAGGGAGGATTTGAAAGACAGAGAAGATGAGAATTTGGGTTGGGAGAGTATCTCTTGAGTGAAGTCAGGTCCTGACACTGATTCAGGAGTATGTGACGGTAGGAATGAGCAAGGGATCTGATCACAGCTGGTGGGAAAGGAATCCCGATGGAAGCAGAGGGCTCAGCAGCACCAAATGCCATCAGAAAGGACAGGAAGATGTTCTAGTCCAGGGTGGCAAACTCTAATGCCTTCAGGAGCCAGTAGATAGTATAAATGAGAGAAGTTGCAGGGTGTGGGGGAGGGAGGATAAAATAGGGATTGGTGAGGAGTTTGACAAGCTGGAGAAAAGGAGAGCATTTGTGCTTTCTAAAAGGATTCAGATTTTTCTCTCCCACTCCACTTTCCCTTCTCCTTCCACCTCCTTACTGTGTGGCTCAAGCAAGAACAGCCTTCAGGATGAATTTTTCTCCCAGGCAGTCAGACTGTGACCTCTGAGACTTACCGACTTGTTGGAGAATCTAAATCTATGAAGGAACCATGTTGTTTAAGGCCACTCTGCAAACCAAGCCTGTTGGTTTGCACCTACTAATAATTGCTTTCTACAGCAGTGTGGAAAGTAGTGAAGCTTGGGGAACAGGATAAGGATGAACTAAGGAGGGACAAGAACGAATTGAAGCTAAAGGTTTTCAAAAGATGTCCATTTCATTCCAGGAGCTTATGACAAGGGAGACGGTGTCCGATCCGTAGAACTGTTAGTGATCACTCACGTGACTTTTATGTACTTGCTGGTTTAAATTCCCCAGATCTACAGAAATATGTCACTGTGCCCTGGGGAAAATTTCCCTGCCATGATCACACACACACACCCACACACACCCACACACACCCACCCCTCCCTCTTCCTTGGTATTAATCACCTTCTATAATTGGTACGTAAAATGTCAAAGGAGAAGGAATTAATTAACAGGAGTATCCAGTGCTGCAAGGCTCTGGGACCGATTATAAAAAGCACTTCCTTAAATATTTTGAGCACTTTTGGGAATCGAAATCCTCTCCTCTAATTGGCAGGTCCTTAACTACACCCCAGGTCCTGGCAGGTGGCCAGGGGGGCCACTGGGCGGGCTGCGTGCGGAAGCCCCTTCCTCCCGCCTCGGGACGGCCCCACCGGGAAGGGCGGCCTCCGAGGCGCGGGAGGCGCGGGGCGGGGCGGGCGGAGCCGGGGCGGGGGCGCCTGCACGCGGCAGCCCGGCGTCCGAGCCCTTCGCAGGTGCGGGCAGGAGCTCCGCGCGCTGCGCGCCCCGCCGGGCCCTGCAGCGGGGAGGGAGGCGCTGCACGGCGCCAGGAGCCACGCTTGGGTCCGCTGCTCAGGCTCGGCCCTCCCGTGGAGCACGAAGCCCGAGTCCCGGCTTGCCTGGCCCGCTCCCGGCCCCGGCCCCGGCCCCGGCCCCGAGGTCTGCGGGAGTTTTGACAGCTGCGCCGAGCGCGGAGGCCCTGGGCCCAGCGCCCGCCTCCGCCGCCCGGGTCAGCCAATGGCGGCGCGGCGCCCTCCGCCCCTCCTCCAATCAGCTGGCGCGCCCCGCCCCCGCGGCGCTCCGCCCCGCCCCGGCCCGGCTCTCCCTCTGGCTCCACCGAGCTTGACAGAGCGGAAAGTCCCTTCGGGACGCCCCGGGACGGCGGCCATTGGAGGAAGGGCTGTCACACGGCGGCCCAATCAGGGCGTGCGCAGGGGCCGCGCCCCGGGCCGCGATTGGCTGTCCGGCTGCGGCCCGCCCCCGCCCCTCCGCGGCGCCGCGGGCGGGGCGGCTGGGGGCGGGCCCGGCAGCAGGCTCGGTTGCGCGGCCGCGCGTCGGAGGTAAATACTAGGGCGGGGGTGCGGCGCCGGGGCCGGGGCGCGGGTCGCGGGGCGGGAGAGGGCCGCGCCCGGCCGCCGGAGGTGAGTGAGCGGCGGGCGGCCGCGCCGGCGGGCGGCCCCGGCCCTTCCGGCGCCGGCCCGGCCTCGGCGCGCAGCTCGGCCCGGCCGTCGGGCCCGGCGCCGGCCCGTTAGTCGGCCCGCCGTGACGTCAGCCGCGCGCTCGCGCCGGCGCCCCCGCGGGGAGACCGAGGCGCCGGCCCGGGGCCCGAGCCCGGGCGGGGCGGGGCGGGGCGCGGGGCGGGGGGCGGCTCGGGCCGGCGCCGTCCGGGAAGAGGCCGCCGGCCTCCCTCACGCCCCTCCTGCTTTTTCTTTCAGTTTCCCTCCAGGGCGAGGCTGCCGGCGCCACAGCCTGGAGGTCGCGGCCCAGACGCGCCCCGTGGAAGCAGGTACCGCTCCTCACCGTCTCGGGGCCCCGGCGCCGCGACGCCCGGCCACAGGCGCGCCCCCGCCGCGGGTTCCCGGGGCCCGCGCCGGCCCCTCGCGGGCTGGCGTCTCGGCGGCCGCCCCGGGAGCCGCCCGCTCCGGGGGACCGTCCCCCTCGGGGCTCCCAACCCCCAGCCTTGCCGTCCCCGGCTCTCCTGCCCTCATGCCCTGCCAGGCCCCGGGGGGTGAGCGGGGCCTCAGCTCCGAGAAGGAGCGTCCACCGAGCCTCGCATTGGAACCCGGGCTAACAGGGGTCTCGGAAGACTGTCCTTTTTGCAGCCATCGGCTTCCAGAGAAAAATCCAGGCCTTGACAGGGGGTGTTCATTCAAGGGCTGGTTTTCTGCACACCCCCTCATGCCCCAAGCAGACTGAATGGTTTAAGAATTTCGCCTGCCAGTTCCCGGCTGCATAGTGGGTGGATTTGAAGTAGAACAGCGTTAGGAGAAAGTGATTTGCTGGAAATTCTTATGGAAGTTCATGTACCCTGAATGTTGATAACACCCAGAACATTCGCCAAGGCTCTGCTGCAAATTCTTGCAAAGAAGCCTTCCTCTGGATGGTAACTTTTTATCCAGAGCTGATAAAACCAGGGCACCTGTTATATAAGGCGACGTTCAGCAGCCGTGATTTCTTGTGGCTTGGCATGCGTGAACTGATTTTATTTGATTTTAGGGCGTCTTTTGACACAGGAAGACAGAAAGGAGTAATTATCCTATTCATCAAACTGTTAGTGTTTTGCTCCTGATTTTCACATTATGATCTTACATTTGTTGAGGGATTTTCATTGATTATAAGGAATTTACAGGCATCAGACATGACAATGTGAACCTCAAAACAAGTCTTTGCAATTGTGACATTTTTCTTTGTTTCTTTCTTCTTATATTTGTCACGGTCAAGTGGTGTAAACACTGATCTTGACTTCATTTATCCAGAGAATTAGTTTAGTTTGGGGGTAAAAATCATTCAGTACTCCCACCTCCCGAGTCTTTTTCTCTTCTCCTTTTCTTCTTGAAAAAGAAGCATTTCATCACTGAAACAATTAGAGAGGAAATGGAATTTGGGGTTTTGCTGTTATCATCTGCGTTAACCAAATCATTCATTCATTTCAAACCATTTGTCAGACAGTGGTTTGAACATCAGAAATACAAAGATGAAGGATTTGGTGAACTCACAGTTTGGAGATGCAGTGGCCAGGTTTAACTTTAATGAGGCAGCAGTGTTCTCCTCCTGACACGAATATGCAGATTTATAACTTTATAAATCCCTCTTGTTCTAGGGACTGAATACTTCCACGAGTTAGCCTATGAGGAAAATTAAAACTCACTTTTTTCCCTTTGGAATATAACAAGTTGTTCTATTGGTGAAAGACAATCATTCTTAAAATGGTAATTATTCTAGCTGTTTGAAATGTTTGGCCAAGTCCTGTGTGTCTTCTTTCTTTTGCATTCATACGGACCTTCCTACCTCTCTGCCACTTCTAATCGGGGCAGTATGTTAGTATTGTAATTTTTATTCGGATTTAGACAGACTTCTGTGGATTTTAGAATAATTAGGAATCTCACAGGAGATGTAAAACATTCTTTAATTAGATTCTCTTTATTTCTTTAATTGAGGTTCTTTGAACAGTATACAACCTGAAAATCAAAATGACATTGTATTTTTCTAGATTAGGTAATCATTGTCAATTTTATGTCACTCATGCCATTCATTGTTTTAGAATGTGGTAATTCTGATCATCAGTATTTTTGTTCAAAACATTTCTTCATCATCTTGTTTACATTGCATTGATAGGAATCGGATAAATATTCGTGCCTTGCAATCCTCTTATTGGTTTAATAAGTTGAACTAACATTTTAATTCAATTAAATTCTCCTTTTCAGAATCCAGACAGACCATCAACAAGTTAAGACAGTCAGATATATTTTCAAGTCTTTGTGACCCTCTGTTCCCTCATTTCTATCGTTAAAAGAAAGGCCTCCTATTTAATATGGGTTTAGGGTTAGATATATTAGAGTATTCCAACTCTTTGGTAATCTTACTCAGCGCTTACAGTAATTATTAGGATACCTGTAATCACTCAGTTTGCCAGCCTGAAATAGATACAGTGGTATTTAGATGAATGATTTGTCACATATTTGCCCTCAGAGTGAAGCATACTGCTAGAGACAATTTTTAAACAAGTAGACCTGATGGCTAGAAAGAACACAAATGAGGGCAACTGCCAAATCCTAAATCTTCAGTATTTTTCAGTGTCTGATGCAATGCTTAGTGTGCAAAAGTACTAAACAAAGTAACGCACCTTCTTGATTGATAAATAGCTCACTAATAGTGGGATTTAAACCTTTGCCTTTTAGTCTTGAGTCAGTTTTTATTGCTTGGGATTCTTAAGACTTAATTTAACTGTTGTCTTCTTGGTGAAAGAAGACTGTGGGCTTTCTGTTCACATCTACAGGGGGAGGAAAGTCTCTTTATTGAAGTATTTCTGCTGCGATGCCAGTGTATTGCGATTTTAATGATCATCACGTTTATTACCTTATTATCAAATTCCCCATTCAACTCTCTCTAGCTATCAGTTGCAATGAAGAGCCAATTTTTCCAATGCTAGTGCCAGACCTATTCATTCTTAATGGATTCTTTCTAAATGAGAAAGGGCCACATCCTTTTTACTTTTGGATAATGCTTTTTAAATATTTTATTACTTTTGGTCGGACTGTTCCAGTCGTCTAACATGACCCATCCTGCTGCGGAGTGTCGGCTCACTCCCACTTGTCCTAATACGGGGTGCAGATACGCTGCTGCTCCTGGTGTAATTCACTTTAAAATATGGGCCTTGATAACTTCTGTTATTTTGCCTTTGACCTTTTTATAAACCAAAGTAATTATACCAGATTTTACTATGGGCCGTCGCTTCAGTGACTTGCAAAAAACATTTTTGTAATCAAATTTACTTTCAATACAGTGTCCTAATACAGAATGAGAGTGATTTAGTTTTGCCTTGGTAATATTTCATTGGTTTTATTTTAAATTGTGGCATTCATTGTTAGAGAACCAATACAGTCGACTTTGTTGGCATATAGTAGTAGTTAATATTCAAGGAAGCTCTTAATTTTAATTTGTGAAAGTATAGTTTTAGGAATTAAAACCATAATTTCTTAATTTCCTTTAAAAAATAGAATTGTCATACTGAAACTAGGTTTTTTGGGGTTTTTTTTTTTTTGGCCAAAATATTTAAGTACACTTTAAAGAGAACAGCAGCTCACTAATTTAAAGGTTGGTTTTTGACCGTCTCAGCCCTTGGAAACAACCAAAATATTGTCTGTGCAATAAAACCTATGCAGTGTACTCCCAAAAGACCTGCTTAGGATTTATGTATTCCGTTTTTGGCTATTGTTATATTGTGTTTCAAACACATATATCTCGTCACCTGCCTTCTCAGAACTGATTGGAAATAGCTAGGTTGGAAAGCAACCAGGGCAGAAAAGGAGTCAAATGCATCCTTGCAGGAAACCACAGAAGATGGCTGATTGCAAGAGGAAACCGGAGACTTTAAAAATATAGAAAGCATCCACAGCACTCAGAAAACATAACGTAAAGTCTTTTCACAAAGTAACAGTTTTGCCTTTTGAGAATCACACATAATAATTTACCTACATATAGAGGTAATTCAAAGATGAAGAAAAGATGAAGGCCATTTCCTTGTTGAAAAGTTGACTCTTTAAAGGAATTTCAGTTGGAAAAAACAAACATTTCATTTTGGTATACTATATAAAGGAGTAGAACTAAACTAAGGGGTTGTGTTGCTTTTTGGGTAACCCTCTTAAGGCTTACTGACGCGGTGCCAAGATAGGGGTTTTCACAGGTGTCTCATAGACATGGCCACTATAAGTTGATCCTGTTCCTGCTGAAGTCGACAGTGCCCTCAAGTGGAATTAAGACAAACACTAATAATGGAGAGCGCGAGCACCGCTGCGTGAGAGTTCTGCTCCTACCTCACTCAGATATTTCAGTGATGATGTTTGAAGGGATGGCAAACTCTTTACTGTCTCGGGTAATCTTCATGTCTATTCTGATTTGCAGAGGGACAGACTTTTTAAAACTTCGCTACTAGAGATTACTTGATTATTAAACAATGCATTCTAAAGGGAATGCTATTCTGTGTAGTGGAGATTTGCCAGATTATTGAATCATTAAGGTAAATGATTAAATTTGTTAAATGTAACTTTGGTTTTGGGAGTATTTATTTTTTAATTCTAAAATTGAAGTTGGTAACTAAGAGAGTGCCATCAACTGCTCCTGTCACCCAGACCCACAGGAGACATCATCTAAAAGAAGGATCGAGAAGCCCCTTGTCTAGAAACCCAGCAGCCACATTTGAAAGTCTTAATGTGAATTCATGACATTGCATGATTTTTAACCATCAGTTAAAGTAGGGTTGAAAAGGCTACTTGTGAAAGATGAGTTGTCTTGTAAAAATTTTAAATGAAAATTTGAAACTGAAAAGAAATCTCCTTTTGTGTGTTCCTCTCTAGTATTCATAGGTAGAGTTGTGGTATAAAAATATTTCATATTTGATTCTAGACCATAATTACATTTCCTTGTGCTGTAGTACGAGTTTTGATGGCTAAAAATTGATTTTAAGACATCTTTGATATAATCAGATTTATAGTATTGTGATTATAAGAAATTAAATGATAGCTATGATTAACATCGAAGGACAAAATGTATGCGATTAAGGAAATGAAACTGAGACATAAAATGTTCCATTTTCAAAATGTGGCATGTGGATCAATGAATTATGGTTAAAGTTTCAGCATGTGATTTTATGGTATTTTTATTGATAAAAGATGTTCAACATAATAAATATGATAGATGACTTTTTACTTAGCTGCATGTACAGAAATAATAGCCTTTTAAATTTTTGTGTGTTTTGCCCCAGAGCAGCAGCCTATCCTTTTAAATTAGGGGAGATCAAAATGCTGCTTTTTAAAGCTTAAAAATGTCAGAATATGTATTGAAGGTTATCTTTTATTAGATTCTTGAATTTATAAATTAAAATGCCATGGAAACAAAAATTTGTACTGTGAGATCCTTTATGATTGGATCACCTTCGTTACAAAATGATGGTAGATACAAGTAATAGTTCTTTTAATACTTTTAGATATTTTTGGAAGTGTGTGTTTTACTAGCTGAATGAGATTTTAAAAAGTCTTTACCTTACTATTAGCTCATGTGAAATGAAGCATAAAGTTTCTTTTTGCTTGTCCTCCAGGCATTTTGATTGCTGTCTTTTTGCAGCATGGACACCAAATTGCTAAAAACATGCTTTGGGACTGCCAGTGAATGTACCTTTTGCAGTTTTACTACAGACTTAGTAGTTCTCTTTTTTTTAAGTTAATATTTTGGAGTTAATATCACAATGAGTTCAGGCTTATGGAGCCAAGAAAAAGTCACTTCACCCTACTGGGAAGAGCGGATTTTTTATTTGCTTCTTCAAGAATGCAGTGTGACAGACAAACAAACCCAAAAGCTTCTTAAAGTGCCAAAGGGAAGTATAGGACAGTATATCCAAGACCGGTCTGTGGGGCATGCGAGGATTCCTTCTGCAAAAGGCAAGAAAAATCAGATTGGACTAAAAATCCTAGAGCAACCACATGCAGTACTCTTTGTTGATGAAAAGGATGTGGTAGAAATAAATGAAAAGTTCACAGAGTTGCTTTTGGCGATTACCAATTGTGAAGAAAGGTTCAGCCTGTTTAAAAACAGAAACAGGCTAAGTAAAGGCCTGCAGATAGATGTGGGCTGCCCTGTGAAAGTGCAGCTGAGATCTGGGGAAGAAAAATTTCCGGGAGTTGTGCGCTTCAGAGGACCCCTATTAGCTGAGAGGACAGTTTCGGGAATATTCTTTGGAGTAGAATTACTGGTAAGTTTGATAAACCATCTTAGTGCTCTCTGTGTGTGTATGTGTGTGTACGTACTTTTTCTAGGCACAAATTATACATGTGTTTTTCTTTTCCCCTTTAAGTACAAGATAAATCATCCCAGAAATCTTCTATAATTGTTAATATTCACCCCGGTAGGAATTACTTTCTAATGATAAATTGAGATGATGCAAAGGTGATGAATTGAAAACTTACCAAAAAATCCTACTTACGCTACTAGGAAATACAAATAGATCACATCATTATTGAAGACTTATAGCTTAGAAATGTTAATTGTCTGTATTAGAAATGAACTGTGCCAATTGCAGACTAATCACAAGCTTGTTAATTATCTGGTGACACCATCATCTCTAGGTTTCTCAGTTTTTCATAATGCGTGTTAACCAAATAATGACAATTTGGGTTTATGATTTTTTTAAACAAGTTGTCTTAATTAAAATTGCTTACAGTTGACCCTGACAATATATGCAAAAATCATCTTGGAATTTATTTCTGATATAGTTCCAAAATTAATGTTAGTTCTCTAGAACTTAAAGGGTTATGTTTTGATATTCTTTCAAATAGGATTTCATGCCTTGTTTCCTTGATTTAATTTTTAAAGCAGTGATTGTACAACAATTAGAGATTGGAATCTGGCTCTGCTATTTACTGGTTGGGTTACCATGTTCCTTAACCAGGCTACTTAACTTCTCTGGGTCTGCTTCCCCATCAGTAAAATAATGACATTGGTACACAATTTGCAGTGTTTTTGTGATTTATTGATCCAGAATTGAGTGCAGTGGCTGGCACATAGTAAGTGCTCCATAATGGAAGCTAATGTTACTGTTAAAGTAAATTTTTCTTTTTATGACAAAATTATTGTTTAAATCACAATGTAACATCCAGTCCCACTTTCTCACAAGGTAATTAATTATGACTTGAAATGCTCAAGTAATTTTATTTCAGCGTCAGATACAGTTTCTTCCTTGTTTAAAAACCTGTAAATCCAACAGCAGTCACTAATCATTGCAGTTCTTGTGTGTGTCATTTAGAATTTTTCCACTGATTTCCCTGAAATCTGCAGAGTGACTCCCTTTTGTTCTGGACGATCTTTCTGTGCCTATCTTTCATTTTATTTTCTTTCTCTTAAAAACTAGGAAGAAGGTCGTGGCCAAGGCTTCACGGATGGAATCTATCAAGGAAAACAGCTTTTTCAATGTGAAGAAGACTGTGGGGTATTTGTTGCTCTGGACAAGCTGGAAATCATAGAAGATGATGATAATGGGTTGGAAAGTGATTATGCAGGCCCAGTGGACACCATGCAGGTTGAACTTCCTCCTCTGGAAATAAACTCCAGAGTTTCTTTGAAGCTTGGAGAAACTATAGAATCGGGAACGGTTATATTCTGTGATGTTTTGCCCGGGAAAGAAAGCCTAGGCTATTTTGTTGGGGTGGATATGGTAAGAGACTTTTGGGTTCTGTTACCTTTGTTAATGCATCTATTAGTTTTCTGACCAATTTAGGTACAAATTAAACACTTCTTGAATATTTAAAATGGACTACGGTCAAGTAGTTTAAAGAACATGCTCTAATTTCTTTTTTGTAAAGGAACATTGCTATGAGACAGGAGTCTAGATATAGAAGATACAGTTACTATTTTTTCCAATGTTTTCAGTCTTTCAATTTGCCTTTTTATAATTGGCAAGGAGACCAGAAAAAAATCCCCAAGTATCAATGTCTTCTTTTTATTTTGAAATGAATTTTTTTGAAATCTATGTTTTTCTTTTGGTAATATTTTGCAAAATTTTATTGACTTTTATCTGATTTTAAAGAGTAGTGTGAAAGTCATTTATGGTCATACCTGAATAGAAGAAAAACACATTGCTTTAGAGGAATAGACAATTAGGGTAGTTTTTGAGGATGTAAGTCCAACTTTTTTATAGTGGTAAAATGAATAAATAAAATTGATCATTTTTAAAAGTTTATCATTTAATCATTTTCAGTGGCACTCACTGCATTCCCATTGTTCAGTGCCGTCGTCACCCCGGCCACTCCACAGCTAACTCCATCATCTCAAACTGAAGCTGTCACTCCCCGTTCCTCGCTTCCCTCTTTCTGTGCCCGTGGATTTGCCGATTCTAGGCACCTCCTATAAGTAGGATCAGGCAATAGTTACCCTTTGGATTGTTTCACTCTTTTTAAATATTACCTTACAATAATATTTGTTAATAATGGGTTGAACGGGGCAGGTTGGATGGTTAAGAGACAAAAAAAAGTGAAAACATTTTATCTTACGTTGGAAGTATGGACAAGACTTTGTTAGGTGTAAAGAAGGAAACTCAGAATTATTAAGCACTAGAGAGGATGTGAGTAATAGAGTTTTGCACTTACCAACCATGTTTTTAGTGATTATTTTTATCTACTTGAGTATATTTTTTGGTTGGTAGGGTATGGATGTTCTAGCAAAAATTTGTCATCCTGTGCTTGGAAACTCTAGGAATTTCTATTTGCCACCCATCAGTTAGACAAACATTACTATGTTTAGGCAAACATTTACAGAGCATTTACAATGTGAACAACCAGAGCCAGAGTAAAGCTTGTGGGTCCCTCAGAAGAGCTAATGATGAAACTCACCTTCACACCATTTTTCTTTGGACGTTCAGTGTTTATTTGGAGGGGAGATGCACCGAGGAGAGAGAAGGCAGGAAAGCAAGGGCACTCTGGTGGGGGTTAGTTTTCCCTGGCTGCTCTTTTAGGTTGACTCTCAAACCTGGCCAAGTCTTTTGGCTTTCCCCTCCTTCGATGGGCCTACTGCCTACAAGTCACCTCATGCACTGGGGGCAGGCCGCCTGGACAACAGGCCACCTCTCCCTGCCTCTGTCTGTCCAGTTTGGCTTCTGCAGCTTTCATTCTAAACCCCTCTAGAGCACTTCTTGAAAGGAAAGTTCTGGCAAATGCAGTATTGTTCATCTCTCTTAATTTCCAGTGACGTGTAATATGTTGGACACGTTGATGCTCTGGGGTGTTGTCGGGCTGGCCCATCTCTTAACTCGCTCCATGAGCTGGGGCTGGTGGATGTTACACTAGAATGTAAAATAATTAATACAAAAATTTCACTTTGGAGGAAATTTGTACATGCCTATACAGTGACAAAAAGAAAATGAAAAAACAGACTTTCTCTGAACAGAAAGGCATATATGAGTTCAAATTGAATGTCTGCATGTTCAGGGAATGTAACAGTGATGAGAGCAAGCTAGAACTAAGTTGGGGCAGGTTCCTGGGTGAAGCAATATATGTGAGGAGAATATTACTATAGGCTATAAAGATATAAATAGGCTACTTGTATTTCTTGTCTCCTAAAATATGAAAAATACTTTTGATTTCTTGTTCTTCTGTGGGTTTACTTGATTATTCTTGGATCGCTTTTTTTCCTCCAAACAAAACCAAAAAAAAGAACAAACAAAAACATTTAAAAAGCCTTATTACTGTGGCAGTTACTCTCATACAGCCTTTTCCCCCCCCCTCTTAGGAAAGAAAGGATAAAATTTACCATGTAAATGTTTTGGAGGATTCTTTTATGGAAAATAAAGACTTTTGTGTTTATATTTTATTAAGAAGGGTTTTAAAGTTTATTCTGTTAATTTCTAGGATAATCCTATTGGCAACTGGGATGGAAGATTTGATGGAGTACAGCTCTGTAGCTTTGCAAGTGTCGAAAGTACAATTCTCTTGCATATCAACGATATCATCCCAGGTATGTTTCCTATGTTAATAAGGCAGAGTTTCGAGGATGTCTTTGTCTTTGTGATGAGTGTGTAAATATAAGCTTCAAGGTGCATTGTTGGAACTTGACTTTTATGTTACCGAATTGTTATTAAATTTTGATGGAATATTCTTTCTTACCCCCAAATGACAACAATTTTTCACCTTACAGTATGTTTGTGTGGGATGGCATTTGTATGTCATTACTCACTTTTAAAAATCACCTGTCCTTTGTAAGGTGGAAAAAAAACCCTTTCTGACTAGAAGAGTCAGAAAATGTAAGAAACTGCCACCTGTTTGAGTGAGACCAGGGTGTAATCTAGAAGCTCTTGAGCAGAAGTTGGCCATCTAACGTAATCACATAGACTGTGAGAGGTTTCTTGCTGGATGGCCCTTTGGAGATGATATAATCGATCAGTCAGAACAGATCACTCAACTTTACATCCAAAAGTCTTAAGCAACCTTTTATTTTACCTCAAACAAGTAAACACTTGACAGCTGTTGTCAAGTAATTGACCAGTTCCTATCGACAGCAGCCTGGGCAGTGCCTTCTGCCTGCCCCTAAAATTCTCACTTACTGGATATGTCACCATTATGGTTGACATAATGTTAACCATAAAACTAACGGAAAGCCTGTATTTGTAGCCACAAATGTAGGAGGCCCTGAATAAGATATCTTGTACTTTTTTACATTCTTGCCAAACATCTGATGTGGATCTTAATTCATTATCTCCATTTTGCTGATAAAGCCTGGAGTTGGATAGGGCTGAGATTGGCTAGGATCAATAAGTGGTAAAGCTAGAATTCAAATCCAGACCAGCCTGACCAGCTCTGCTCTTTCCAGCGCCTTCTCCCCCAACCCAGCCTGTGTGTATTCTTAGGCTGTGAAGACCTGCATAGAAAAACATACTTCCCAGCCTCACACGTATGCTTGGAAATATTGTTTCCATGGAGATGTATTTTGTCTCTAATTCTATAAAAGCTGAATTTTACTATAGCGAGAATCACAACTGAACAAAATTTTTTTTTTCCTTTTGCTTCCAGTGTTTTTCCATTATTGCTAATTTCGACACAGAACACTTTTGCGTTTTCCACAGGTCCTTTCAAGTCCTCAGTTTCTTTCTTTTGTAAAACAAAGGAGTTAATTCTAGGTGACCCTTGGGATTTCTCCTAGGCGGCACTCTTTGGCCTGCCTATCTCTGTCTTGGTTTGGCAAGTAATAAATGCTTGTTTTGTTGAGTTAGGAAATGCTTTCTACTTTAATGTTTTGCTTCATAGCCAGAGTACATTGATTTCGGTGGATGTGTGGAAGTCAAATAATTTTCAGTTTTGCTTTATAAAAGTCTGACACTTGCTTTTCTTGATTTCTTTAAACTTGATTTTTAATTTCTTGTAAATTGGGTTCCTAACTATCTCGTTGCTTCCTTTTGGAAACAAATAGTTTACATTTTGGGGAAAGCATACACATGCTGATATTTTACCTAAGGATACTTAATTTGCCTTTTTATGCCTGTTTATGGAAGTAACATAATTTATAATTTGATAAATTGAAAGTCTTTAATCTTTCAATTAAATGCTGTTGTTCCACAAACAGTTTTGTGAAAGGTTGTTCCTTCATTCAAACACGATTAAGCCCTTACTTAAGCTGTTTTAGGTATTGAGAATGAAGAAGAAGAAAGCAAAACAGATAAAAATTCTTCCCACATGGAGCTTTTAGTCTAGTGAATGGAGATAGGCAATATATAATTAAAATATAATATCAATGAAATGGTGATGAGATAGAGAATGAAAGATGAAGCAGGCAAGGGCTTGCTGGGCTGCATGGTGGGGCGGTGGGCTTTTTCTGTTGCATGGAAGGTAATCCCAGGAGCCCTCAATGTTGACATTTGAGCTTTTGACATAAAGGAAATTAGGGAGTGAGCTGTATGGATTTTGAGGGAGTACCGAGGCTACCCCTTGACCAGTTCGAGGAATAGTCAGGAATTCACAGTGGCTAGAGCAGGTTGGCAACTCACTCCATGTTTCTCCTTTGGTGTGGCCTGTTTCACTTGGCGTGATAGCTTTTGTCTTTGCTTTAGCATTTTTTTTTCTCTTTTTGCCATGCAGTATTTAAAATTTTTATATGGTTGAATTTATGAATTTTGTTTATCTGAACTTTGAATCCCCTCAAGGTTACAAAGGAATTTCTCCATGTTTTCTTCTAATACTCCTGTGGTTTTATTTTCTTTATATATCTTTGTTTCATGTGTATTTTGTGTGGTGTATGATGTGGAACATGGATCTGATTTAGTTCCCTGTCCCCTAAGCAGTTACCCAGTTGTCCCAACATTATTTATGAAAAAGCCCATCTTTTTCCTCCTTGTTTGAGATGCTACTTTCTTCATATTAATTTTCATGTACTTTGGGATATTTCTGGATGTGCCATTCTGTCTGCTTATGCTTCAGTACCGCATTATTTTAAATGATTCTTTATGGTTTAATATTGGCACTAGTCCAATCTCATTGGTCTTCTGAATTTTCCTTCTATTCTACATTGTCTTCTAAGTCTCATAGGTGTCTTTCACATGTGAGTCCATAATCCACCCCAATTTGATTGTGTAGGATTTGAGATACGAGCTACAATGCTTGTTCTGGATAAATCGAGTTCCAGCATGTGTATGTGGATCACTTTCTAGGCTTTATTCTTTCCTGCACTAAGACCTCTAGGCTGTCATCAGTATAGCTTTAAAAGTTTTCACGTTGTGTAATTATGTTTCCCTCCTTGGCCTTTATTTTAATGAGTTTCTTGATTTTTGTTGGTCCTTCACTCCTTACTGCAAATTTAACAATCAGCATCTCAAATATTAAATAGAATTCCATTGGGATTTTGATTGGAATCTGTAGAGCAATTTGAGGACAATTGTCATTTTATTATGTTGACATTTCTAATATGTGAACGTTTCATTTATTTAATCTTTTTAGTATTTACCTTGAAAAACATTTACTATTATATTTGATTTAAATAGTGATATAGGATTAAAATATTAAAAATGAATTACAAGACCCTCCTTGAAGCACCTGTCAGGCACACTTGATCTTACAGCTCCTGGGTACCAGGAAAATCATTAGTCTAGTATGATAATTTAAGAAAGAAAAAGGTACAAGAAGTTGGCTTGTGTGTAACTGTGTTTTTCTTAATTTGCTATAACATTTGAGATGCTTTTTTTCCTCCCAAACTCTAGATTTGTGTTTCTATCTGTATATTTTTCCTGCATCTCAATTTGGTTTCAAATGTAAATGATCTTGGTTTCTATGGTGGCACTTAAAAAAAGAAAGTATTGGGAGGGTGAGAGGAGGGAAAGGAGGGGGTGCCTGGGGACGGTGGGGGGAAGTGATGAAGGGGGATTTGGTGGTAGACCTGTTGTGGTAGCATACCTCTGAAGAGGTGCGAACCTGCACCCCAAATTGAAGACAACATTGTAACCCAGTGTTACTGCAATACAAATAATACAATCTAAAAAGAAGAGGAAAAAGCTACCATTTCTGTTTTCCCTATGATATAATTATATGTCATATGACCAAGAATTCTTCTTTAATAGTATTTACCTTCAAAAACATTTACAATTATATTTAATTTAAATAGTGATATGGGATTGAAATATTAAAAATGAGTTACAAGAACCTCCTTGAAGCACTTGTCAGGCACACTTGATCTACAGCTCCTGGCCACCGTAACCACAAGTACTGGCTCTCCGCAGTCACGAGGAAGGAGGAAAATATTTCTTTTCATTAAAGCTTGATTTTCATAAACCCTGAATAGAAGATAATTAAGACCAATGCCAGCTCTTATAACATAATACACAAATTATACTTCTTTGCCAACAAAATAAAGCTCCCAAATAGATTAAAAAAAAATAAAGTTGTCAAAACGAACATTAATTTTGATTGAGTCTTCATCTATGTTTTATGTCATCATTAGCATCCTTTTCTTGAGAGGAAAAAAGAGTCTTAGTGTCTCCTTTAGTTCCTAAGTTTCTTTTTCTTGCCCAATTACCTTCATTTGTAGGACAAAATTAATATTTCCATCTTTTGAATAAAATCTTCAGAAGCAGTTGATCAGCGGGTGAGATTAGGACGGAACTTATCCCAGCCAGTTGCAGGTTACAGTGGCTTTGACTGAAAGATAAGGGGTCTTGAACCTGTTATGACTGTTCATTTCTGGTTCAGATGTTCAAAAACTCTTACCATTTCTCATTTGATGTTATGTTCAGGTTCTTAGCGCTCCTGGGATATGGAGCCTATCATTTAGTGCCACTCTTAAATTACACATTTGTGCTTTTCCTAATCCAGTCTATCTCCTTCTTTTAGTTTTGGCTGGGAATATAAGGTGGTGTGTTCACATTTGCACAAAATCTTGAAAGTTATATGAGAACTTCCCACCTAACATTGACCTAACTTCCTTTTGTGTCCCTGATGAATTTTTTCTTTGCATATTTTACATACTTTTTTATACCTTCTCTTAAAAATCTTAACAGTTTTAGTAGTGTGTAATTGACATGCAATAAATTGTCGTTATTTAAAGTGTGTGATGTGATATGTCCTAACATATGTCTATAGTCATGGGACTGCTGTCACCTGGGCGTGTCCTCTGTGATACCTCCCCGTGGCTTGGGCACCCCATCCCTACCCCGGTGCCCCTCCAGGCAACCACTGGCCATCCTGAGTCAGTATACATTTGTTTGCATTTTCTAGAATTTTACATAAATGGAGTAACCAAGGGCACACTCTTTTTATCTGACTTACTTCACTCACAAAATATTAATTTTTTTTGGCTCATCCATGTATCTTCTTTACTACTCACTTCCTATGGTGTAAGAACATATATACACTTCATATGCTTATTTGTCATCTTGCATGGTTGAAGATCATAGAAGTTATAGAAATCTTTTGCCAAGTCTTTACTGAATCATTTTTTAAGTCACTCCTTTATCAGAAATATGATTTGAAAATATTCGAGGTTATGATAGATTTACATGCAACTGGTAGAAATAAGATAGAAAAGTTCTGTCTGCCCTTTACTTTCCTCCAAAGGTGACAGCCTGTAAAACTAGAGTGCAATATGGTAGACAGTCTGTTGACACTGATAGAGTCGAGGTTCAAGCCTGCTGTAACATGAGGCAGTACTTTTTATGGCTGAGTAAATACTCCATTGTATGACTAGGCTTTTTTTTTTAACTCATCATCAGTTGATGGATTTTGTATTGTTTCTAGAATGTGCTGATACGCACATTCACCTACAAGATTTTTGTGTGGGCGTATGTTTTCAGTTCTCCTGGGTTTATGCCTGGGAATCAAATTGCTGGGTCATACGGTAAATGAATATTTAAGCATTTGTAGAACTGCTGGCTGTTTCCCAAAATGGCTGGACATTTTACATTCCCACCAGCAACTTATGAGAGTTCTGATTCTTCAGTCCTCATTCTCCTATTTTTCAAAAGTTTCTTAGTTTTTAATTTTATAATGAAGTCCCTGATTCATTTTGAGTTAATTTTTATAAGGTATGAGATTTATGTAGAAGTTCTTTTTTTATATAACTATAGATGTCTAATTGCTCTACCACCTTCTTTTTTTCTTTTAAAGATGTGTTTCTTCCATTGAATTGCTTTTATACTTTTGTAAACAAATCAGTTGGGTGTATCTGTTAAGATCTATTTCTTGGATTTCTGTTCTTTTCTGTATTTCTAATTAAAATTCAGAGACATTTCTTGTTATTGTTCACTATTTTATTGTTACGAATTCCAACCCAAGGTTCTCTAACAAATGTTTCCTTTTCTGGTTAAGTCAATAAACAAGATTATTGGATGAGCTGCTAATTATAGTATTTTGAATGCAGTCCTGCTGTGTGTATATAATGAATACTTCTGGCCTGTTTCCTTTTACCCAACATAATGTCCAGGGTGTTATGTGTATAAGAAGTTACCCTATTTTTATCTTTTATCACTATGTAGTAGTCCATCCTATGAACAGACCACAATTTGTGTCCCATTCTCCTGTAAAATGAATTGTTTCTGGCTTTTGGTTATGATGAATCAGGCTGCTGTGTACATTTTATACATGCCATTTGGTGGACCTCTCATGCTATCCATTTTAATATCTCAGCTTAATAGCAATCATTATTCATCAGTAACTCAGATTATTTTAATCTCACAAGATTGACTGCTGAATTTATTCCTTACTGATGTTTACTTTCTCATATTATCTTTCCTGAGATGGTAATCTCTTAAAAAATTCATCTAAGGTAGTTGGTTTTGGACATGAACGTAGTTGTGACAAAGAAAGAAGATATATTAGTTATATAATTGTTGAAAGGTGAGTTAGATGTGGCGTGTGCCCCCTTACAGTAGAAAATATAGGAGTGCCCTATACACAAGATTGACATTTGAGCGCCTTTCCCTGCCACCATGAAGTCTGCGGCAGAAGGTAACCATGGTCTCCAGCTGCAGTGCGTCTGTGTACCCCGTCTTTGGGATCCTCCCCGGCATGAGAAACAAAGAGGCCACCACCAGCTCAACCCCTTGTCTGCCGCCCCCCACTCTTCAGACTGCCTTAGTTAAGCCTCTGCTGCCTTTGTTAGAGTTGCCACTGACTGAATAACGTGTTGATCATGGCAAACACGTCAATATCTTTTGAAAATGGATATACATGCACTTAATTACAGTTAATAATGGAAGTTATTTTCTTTAGTCAATTTATATGGTATAATTTGGGAAGTTTTGCCAGTGACTACAAAGTTTTACTTTCCACAGTAGCTCTCCTATGTGCCATTTGGAAACACTTGAACAGTAACATCATAAAAATACTAGTAGATAGCTTTTCTTTTAGTCTAGCATGGTTAAAGTCATGGTTATTCATTATAATTTTTGAATTAAAATAATACTCCAGTTGATCATACTCTGAGATCTTAACTGTACAGCCCCCTTCCTTATCAACCCAGGTAAAAAGTTGCCAATCATTTATATATAATGCATTCAGTATTATTTCCTTTTTAAAAAATGGCCTTTTCCTTGTGTTTGAAATATAAAGATGTTCCTATTTTTTTCCCCTGTTCTCAAAAATCCAACTGTGGGCTGATTAACAGCTTTATCAGGTATGACTCCTCAGTGTCATGTTGGACTCCATGGTGTGTTGTTGACCTTTTTAGGGGGACCCTTTCAAGACTGATATTTTGCATTTGCCTGATCAGTGTCTGTGACTGTCTTAGGGAAATTACTGGCCCTTAAAGTAGAGAGCAGTCTTTGTGTCCAACACTAGTTGGCCAAATTTATTACACCTATATTTCAAAAAGTTTTGAGTGCTTTTTTCAAGTATTACTGATACTTGTTTCCGACTTTCTGCATCGTCAACCTCTGCACAGTTCTGTTTCTCCTATTTATATGTGTTTGTGTGCCCATTCATGTTATTTGTAACGTGTTTTTTTAAAAAAAGATACACATTTCTGACCAGACTTTTCCCAAACTGTGTGCATGAAATACATTAATCCTGTACACTAAGTAGAGTGGCACAAAAAAGATTATCAAATAAGCCTACCCCTCTTTGAGAGACTCACAGTGCACACGAGCATATAAAACTCTGGAGTTGTGTGGTAAAAAAGCCTGTTTGTCTTATTTATCCCAGTATCTTCTGGAAGTATATGAGTACGGGACACGCTGGAACACTCAGGGGTGTTTAGGGAATACTGAGTTGGGAAATGCTACACAAAACTGAGTAAGGTTTGCTTTGTCTTATTTTAGCACGTGAAATAAAATCGACTAAAAGTGATTACATTTTCAAGAAGTTAAAGCGTTTTCTGAGTTGTGTTGGGGTGGATTGTGGGAGCTGTTCTGAAGTACAGTGGTGGTTTTTTCTTTTTGGCATTATCGCTTCCAGTATTTCTGATGCCTTCAAGAGTTCTGTAAAACTACTGTGAAAATGCTTTTTGTTGGAAAGCAGTGTTTTGGTGGCTGTCATTGTTGGCTAGATGGTGTCTCTTCTGTAACAATTTGCTCTTTTTTTTTAAAAAATGGGTTTACTGTTTCAGATAGCGTGACCCAGGAAAGGAGGCCTCCCAAACTTGCCTTTATGTCAAGAGGTGTTGGCGACAAGGGTTCGTCCAGTCACAACAAACCAAAGGTTACAGGTATGAAAGACTAGTTTTTCCTTATTTACGTGCTGACTTGCCACAATACTGCTAAAAGGTTTCTCTTCTTCACATGTATGTGGACTTTCTTCTCTCAGACATTTGACTAGTTGACTAAAATTTTTTTATCGATGCTGTCGCTTAAGGTAGAGGTCCCGTCTTCTTTAAGCTGAGGGAAGGCTTCCCGAGAGGCGCTCGTCAGCGGGGCCCTGTCAGCTGGTTTTTGGGACCCTCCCCCCCAATTTGTACAGAGCTGCAACTATAGAATAACGCAAATGAGAGAGTAATTTCACTAACTGTCCAGTCAAATCCCAAACTGCTAAGCAAAACTTTTTTGTCTCTTCAGAAACTCTAACGCATGTGGAGTTTTTTTTTTTAGCTTTTTTTCTTTAGCTTCACGTTACTTCACAGATGCATCAGACGGTCGTTACAGAAGTAAAAACAGCTCACTTTTTAAAAAATGTAAGGATTTTTGTCAGCTTGGATGTGGGTCAGGAGAATAATTCTACCTCAGGTATCTCGTGAAAAGAACTAATTTTGAAGCCCGGCCCCACAGCGTGGACTGCGGGGCGAGACCCGCTCCTTCCTCACGAGGCTGAGCAGCAGTTTCCGGCCGCCCTCCTTCAAGGTTGCCGCCCGCCTATGAGCAGCCCGCCCCGCCCCGCCCCGCCCCCTCCCACCATTTCCCCCACCCCTTTCCCCCCTTTCCCCCCCCCCCCCGCCACTTCCCCAGCCCTCAACCCCCCTTTCCTCCCTTTCCTCCCCTTCCCACCCGTCCCTCTTGCCCCTTCCCCCCACCCCCACCCAGTGCCAGCGGCTTCTGAGGGAGCCAGAGGTGGCGTTTCCTGCTGGCCGCCCAGAGCGCTGCCCTCAGGGGGCTGCACAGAGGTCTGGCACTGGACGCCACGCTCTTCCTGGCGCCTCAGAGGAGGAGAGCAGAGCGCGGCAAGCCCCAGCGTGTGGGCGTCTGGGCGTCTGGGCTCGCGAGCCCCGCCCGCCCTGCCTTATATGCTCTTTCAGAGTCCCACCCTCCGATCATCCCTGATTGGACGATTTTCAGTCCTAGGTGAATGATTGGACCATTTTAGGACCAATCAGCCCTTCTGCCGCTGAATAATTAAGTGAGGAGCTGGCGCACACCATTGGCTCATTGCGCGCTCACCCCATTGGGCCGTTCCGTGTGCGCTTGTAACAGGCCGGAGCACCCGCAGCTCCGGCGCTGTGTCTCAGTGGAGCGGCCCGGGGCTGCGGGGGGGGGGGGGGGGGGGGGGGGGCTGGCAGAGGCAGTCTCTGGGCAGCCAGCGGGAAACTCCCGCTTGGCCACCGGGTGTCGGCCCGGGAAGGCTGCCCGCAGGCGGCGACCTCAGCCCGGCGGGACCCGCCGCGGGCCGCGTGGGCCGGGGCTCTGCTGGGGAAGGGTGTTGTTCTTCACGGCGTGTTTCCGGGCCTTGCCCCGGGAGGCCGCGAGTTTAACGGGGTGTAAGCTGCGCAGATGCACCTCGTGAGGTGGATCCGCAGGCCCAGATGGAAGAGCGCGGCCGGCCCCGTGGGCTCCCCGCAGCCCGAGGCGTTCCCGGCCGTTGGCGCGGCTCGGGCGTCGGGTCTTCCTCGGGTGGAGCCCGCGCGCTGCTCCCGCGGGAAGGGCCGGCGGGGTCGGCGCGCGGCCCTCGGGAGCCTGCGGCGTGAGGCGGCGCTTGGGCGGTCGGGACCCGCTCCGCCCGCCGCGCAGTTACTAAAGTGAACGCGTCAAAAATAGCACTGCTGGGTCTGTTCCGCGGAGAAGCCAGGAGCTTGGTGACCAAGAAATTCCAAAATGTTTAAACCTTAAATCTTTTAAACTTAATTTATACATTGATTTGTGTATAACATTTGAAGATTACCTTCTTCTGAAAGGAACTGTTTTTAAATATTAGGTTAAATATGCGAACCAGTAAGTTCATCAGATAAAATTGGGAAATGATAATTTTGACATTTGAAAATGAGCCCTCGTACATGAAATAACTTTTTAAAGCAGTTCACTGAAATAAGAAATAGCAGGCTTTTCTTTAAATTTACACCTGCCTCCCTCTTATGTTGATTCTTGGACTGAAGAATCTTTTTGACATTGCCAAAATGGCTGTAAAATTTTAAAAGCTGAAAACAATAGTAAAATATTGTTGTGTTGTATCCATCTATTTGTTGTGTAAACAGTTGGTAAATCATATGTATATTGATATCTCATTAAAGACTTTAATACCATATTGACTTTATTTTTAAAAGGAACTTTCTTATTCCATAGGATCTACCTCAGACCCTGGAAATAGAAACAGATCTGAATTATTTTATACCTTAAATGGGTCTTCTATTGACTCACAGCCACAACCCAAATCAAAAAATACTTGGTACATTGATGAAGGTAATCTGAAATCTTAGTGTTCTTTGTAATGATTCTCTCCTTTCAACTCACTAGAAAAAATGGCTTATTAACTAATATTTGTAGTTTTGGAAAGTCTTTATATTAATATTCGTGAGTTAAAATATCATGTATAGTTTCTATTAAAATGAATAAAACATTTAGAAAATATATTAATGTTTGTTCTATTCCTTGAGCTGATCTGGTCAGGGTAGAAGATCTCTAGAATCAATGTAAAGGTTTCTGTCTGAGTCTTTCTTGATCTTTTTAAAGTGCTCCATTTAAAAAAAAAAACTACCTTCCCTTGGTTCTGAGACATGATTTTTCCTGGTTTATTCTTTTCTTTGTTCACCCTGAATCATCAAGGGTGATCAGTCCCTATGGTGTGTCCACAGCTGGCTGACCTCTAGACATGCACAGGGGCACTGCTCCAGGGGTCAGGAAGTAGCCCCCTCTTTAGCTCTGCCATCATGAGTGGATGGGTGGGTGCTTTTCCTGTGTGCTGACAGCTTTCTAAGGAAAGGAAGCCAGTAGGATGACAGCTTTCATAATCTGGATATTCTCCAGGTTCTGCCATGTGTTGATGTGCTGTAATTCCTAATGACAGTTTATGTCTTGTAGAACAATCCCCACCTTCTTGGCTCCTGGTCTAATATTATATAATAATTTCATGGAAGAATATTGATTCTAAAAGACCTAGGTTGGGACATGCAAAGTAATGAAATTCATTCTTAAATTAGAAAATAGAAATAATTTAGTTGTAAAAATACCCTTCTTTCTGTGATTAATTTTACTTAAACATTTGAAAACCTTTTTCTCTACATTGGATTCATTTAGTCACTGATTTGGAAAAGAAATTGTGTGTTTTCTTATACTGTTGGTACCACTTATATTATAGTGGCTGTTCCAAGTGTGGTGGCTTCGGCCGTGACAAAGACTAACACGTGTTGTCCTTGCGGAGCTTGCACTCTGTGGTGTGATGGAGAGGGCCACAAGACAACACTTGAGCAATGAAGGAAATGGCCACAGTGATGGCAACACGTGGGATGCCAGCTGCCGTAGAGTGGCTTGGAAAAGATTCTTTGTGGAAAAGTATTTGTTTTATGATCTGCATGATGTGAATAAATCTGCCAGAGAAAGAGCTTTGGAAGGGCATTCCAGGCAGAAGAGATAGTAAGGGCTAAAGCTCTGAGTTGAGAGCTCTCTGAGAGGTGGGGAGAAGAATAAGAACAAGTTTGGGATATTGAGCTTTGCAATATTAAGCTTGACATGCTTATGCGAAGTGCACATTTGAATTAGATGTGTTTATTCGTTTTTAGAGATGTAGGGCAGTTTTAGTATATTCTTGAATAAATTTCTCTAATTAAGAATAATTTTTTATAGTTGCTGAAGACCCTGCAAAATCGCTTACAGAGCTATCTCCAGACTTTGGACAAGCTTCACCCCCACTGCAACCTCCTTCCATGAACTCATTATCCAGTGAGAACAGATTTCACTCTTTGCCGTTCAGTCTGACAAAGATGCCCAACAGCAATGGAAGCATTGGCCACAGTCCACTTTCTCTGTCGGTCCAGTCTGTGATCGGAGAGCTGAACAACGCGCCTGTCCAGGAGAGCCCACCCCTGCCCGTATCTTCTGGTAACTCACATGGTCTGGAAGTGGGCTCTCTGGCTGAAGTTAAGGAGAACCCTCCTTTCTATGGGGTGATCCGTTGGATTGGTCAGCCACCAGGACTCAATGAAGTACTAGCTGGACTTGAACTGGTAATTGAATTTGACCTACAAATTGCAAATCTCTCCTATCTCGGGGTTTCTGCAGATTACTCCCTATTCTCTTCCACTTGCTGGAAGGGTGCATTTGTCACATAAGTCTCCACGGAGAAGTGGCTATGCTGCCCGCTTTCCTCCGCCATCCATATAGCATCTGAGCCACTGGCTCCTAATGTTAATTGGCTTGTGTTCAAGGAGTGAAAATAGACTTTTAGGCTAATATGTTTAGGCTTATTGAAACAAACAGAATACAGTAAGAAAGACAAATCTGTCCAGGCTTTTTCCCTCTTCAAACTCTGTTCTCCCATGAGTGCTAATATTTATATCACTATCTTTAAGATGGATTGCTGTTTTTAGAGATCTTTTGAGATTCTTGGAGCAAGGAAAGATTTTTCCTTTGGTGATTAGGAAAGTATATTGTTCAGCATTTCAAAATCTGGGAAGGAGAATCTGAGACAGTACCTTTTATTTGAGCATATTTTTTTTTGTTTGCGTGGTAGGGCTATTTTGAGGGGCTGTTTAATATTCTTCCATCCATCGTTTCAATACTTGTAGAAATGGTACCAAAAACCAGTGACTCGGGGGAGGTGTAAGTCTCCATTCTGAAAGAAAATACAATGGCAACTTTGTGTTGGACTAAGGCATTTGTTTCTCACGCTGGTAGCTGTAGACTGAAGCGCTGAAGCACTGAGTGGTCAGCCCATTTCCGCGGTGGCCTCTCAGTATTGCGCCAGGAGATGGAATTCTGAGGAGGGTCAACGTGAAGCGAGGGTTAGAAACCGCAGTTGTTGGTGTGCTCTCTTTGCAAAGCAGAACAGCGCATATGAAAGCATTTCTTTTTCAGGAAGACGAATGTGCCGGCTGTACGGACGGAACCTTTAGGGGCACCCGGTATTTCACCTGTGCCCTAAAGAAGGCGCTTTTCGTCAAGCTGAAGAGCTGCCGGCCGGACTCGAGGTTCGCGTCACTGCAGCCAGTCTCCAATCAGATCGAGCGCTGTAACTCCCTAGGTATTTGGGTCTCTCTCTCTTAATCACTGACCTGGAATCACTAGTTCTAATCTCAAGCCTTTTTGCAGTAGGTGGCGGGTGAAGGTGTATTTTCCTGCCAATGCTCATCAGACTTTTAAATCAGTAAATATTGTTATTTGCCGTATCAGACAGTTACAGTTCCCCTGAGAGGGGACACTGAAGAAAGTACTAGGAAGAAAAAGTTGTGTGAGACTTAAACAGTTGAAAGTAGTGGGACTTACTTTCTCTTCCTGTGGGTTACAGACATTTCAGAAGCACAGGAGGTGGAAATTGAAAGGCTTTTTGGGGCACGGAGTCCACTGTCAGTGCCCAGGCACACGAGTAAGCACATCTTGCCAAGAACTTAGCCTTCTTATAAAACTCTTGATTGATCGGGAAGCTCGGGTCTTGCCATCTGTACAAGGAGTGATTTTCCCAGGCCAGGCCTTTCCAGCTTTGGATAAGAGTGGTGAGGCATGTTGGGGGTTAAGCAGGTAGAAAGAGGAAAACCATTTTATGGAAAACATTTTTCCTTGCGGTTGAAGAAGTACTTTGGAGTTTTTTGTTTTCTTTTCCAACTTGAAAATGAAGCATTCAGATAAATAATAAAATATTTACTTGGTAGATGGCCTTTTGCTCATTACTTAATGGTGTATTTTTTTTTAATTATGGGGGAAGTGAGGTGGAAATGAGCAGTAGTGGTTTTTCATAAGCCAAGTTACTCAACAATGAGCCCAAACCTACCTTTAACTTTAACTTAAAAGACAAATTTCGCATCACAATACAAAAAATTATTTTGAAACGAAGAAATAAATATGTGTGGGAATCCATACTATAATAATTGAAAATAATTTTTTTCATTTTTTTTTTTTTTTTTAGCATTTGGAGGCTACTTAAGTGAAGTAGTTGAAGAAAATACTCCGCCAAAAATGGAAAAGGAAGGTCTAGAGATAATGATTGGAAAGAAGAAAGGTATCCAGGGTCATTACAATTCTTGTTACTTAGACTCAACTCTGTTCTGGTAAGTTTAAAATTAATGCAGTAGCTGTAGATAGTGCTGTGAGGGCAAGGACATGTGTGTGTGTCTGTGTGTGTGTGTGTGTGCGCGCATGTGTGCTCGTGAAAGAATCTGCTAACTTCCTCTGAGTAGAGAAACTGGGATTTTGGGGATCAGGAAAGAAATGTGATTTGCTATTCATTTTTTACCGATTGGCTCTTGAATATTGTCTCATGAGCCTGTATCCAAAAAGTTAATATAGAAAAGCAATGCAGTGAACGATGAGTTAAAAATAATGAGATGAGTAAGATGTGAATGATAGTGTCACACACGGATCAGATATTCTGACGGTATCTGGGAAATCACATGACTGAAGAGAATAAATACCGACACCTATCAAATAACAGAGCTTGGTGTGCCTGTTTCTTTCACTGGGTAGAAGCAATCACAAGTGGCTTTATTTTAAATAATTATTTTAAGTAGAAGCACGGTTGCCCTTGTGTGTAGACATGTAGTTATTCCAAACTGGAACAACTTAACAGGGCAAGACATTTTATACTCTGAAGATCGGGCCAAGTACACTGCTAGTTAAATGGAGTGTAACCTGCCAGCTTTGTACAGCCTTGTCATAGAAATTAGGAAGATAATGAAATGTTAAAATTTTTAAAGTAGGGAGAAGAATAAATGCAGTAGATTTTATTTTTGGCCGAAGACTTTTAGTCTTTCAGATGTGTTGACAAAAACAAGCCCTGCAGACTTGATAGCATGTTCTTTCTCCAGCCTGGTGAAAACTCGTATTAGCCAAATTTTCTTTTGTTTTTTGATATCAGTTACCACTATTAATCACGCACAAATGATTCAGAATTTAAAGAAAGTTAGATCTCTGCAGAGGGGTGTGAGGAGAAAAGTGTGATGTCTAGAGGGAGCTGTGCAGTGGGAATATGCTTTCCTTGGGAGGTGCTCCCTAAATTTCCTCCTCTGCTCTGTTTGCTTCAGACAAAAATCTCTCAACTTCCTGCAAAGTTTTCTTAATATACCATAGGCATATTTTTATCCATTAACATGGTCTATCTAGAGTTGGCCTACCTGACATTTGTGTTTTTAACATAGAAGGTTCTCCAGGTGCCGCGGACCAGCACAGCAGTAGACGATGAGGCCGTCTCAGGGTTGAGAGACTGCGCAGGGTGGTCAGGGATTCGGTTAAAGAAATGACAAACAGACACACTTCAAGAGTGAAAATCTGAGTGTAATTTTATTTGAGTTGGTGACCAGTATATATATGTTTTCTAAAAGCATAGGAATGGCGAACATCAGTGAAGAAATCAGCTTGCTTATAGGTTTAGCTTATCTTTGACAGGGCAGTGATTTACATCTGGACCCAGGCACATTCCTAAGTAGTTAGGCTATTAATTTTTCTTTTTGTTTTATATGATTACTTTTTGTTTTAACTACTCACTATTACTATTAATTAACACAGGTGAATTTTACTTTTCACAATGTAATATTTTTATCATTTAGATTAATACTAACAAGGCTAAGTATACAACAGAGAAATTATTAAGCTAGCAGTTCTATTAATACACAGAGTTTAGTAACGTTTCATTTGAATCAGCCTAGTTATTAGATTTTGTATGTTCTTTTTTAATCGGCAAACCAATGACCTTTTAAACAGAGAAAGAGAAAAGATTTTAGAGAGACAGTTGTATTAGAATAAAGTTTGTGGGTCTAGAGAAGGTGAGATAAGTTTCCGAGCGGACAGCATTCCTGTAGTGGCTTCTGGTGGTCGTTATCTTTCAACAGGCTTCCGTCTTATCTATGTCTTCAGGCGGTTTTTTGCTGTTCTCCTCCTGTGCGCTGGTTGCCCAGCCGGACCTAGGGATTCCTAGAGGTCACTGCAGGAGGAGGTGCAGCAAGTATATCTTCAGGGGGTTTTGCTGTTCTCCGCCTGCGCGCTGGTTGCCCAGCCGGACCTAGGGACCGTGGCGCAAGCCATTAGCCCTAAGGGTCACTGCAGGGGGAGGTGCAGCATCCAGGCCCTGAGGATGGAACTATGGGAATGGTTAAAGGGGCCTGGATACGTGTTAGTGGAAAAAACTGATTTATATGTCACTTATTCTCAAGATTGCATTTATTCACTTTGTATTCTCTTTAGAATCTGTTTTTTTTTTTTAAATAATGGTTACTGTATGATGCAAATGATCTTTTTATTTTGCAGCTTGTTTGCTTTCAGTTCTGTCCTGGACACTGTGTTACTTAGACCCAAAGAAAAGCATGATGTAGAATATTATAGTGAAACTCAAGAGCTACTGAGGACAGAAATTGTTAATCCTCTAAGAATGTAAGTAGGTTGTGTCCTGTTTGCTGATTTTTGGGACAGTAATTAATTTATATTTTGCTTTCATTTGATAAGAAACAGGCAAAAATTAGTTATCTTGATGAAGTATTAGCAATTTCTTTAACCTTTGCTCTCTAGACTGCCCTAACTTGTTTAACTCCTTAAACCTGGTCAAGATGCAGCAAATGGCGAATGCCAGGACGTGACAGCTTCTCATCAAATGTCCCTTCCATTCCCCTCAGTGACTGTTGCATTCTTCAGTGTTAAAGCAAAATCTTTTATTTTCCTTAGATTTTTATTTTTTTAAAGATTTATTTATTTATTTATACAAGCACTGGGTACAGTCAGAAGCGCGGGAGGGTGAGAGAATTCGCCAGAGCCAGAATTCAGCCAGAGCCAGAGCAGGGAACAGAGCAGACAGACTGACGAACTACACTGCTGAGGAGAGCAGCGGGGCGAGGCAGGAGAGGTCCGCGCGCCATGTGAGACCCTTGCCGGCGGCCGGGGATTGAACCAGCAGCCCAGCGCTCAACCGCTGCGCCACTGGGGAGGCTCTTCCTTAGATTTTTAAGTGATGACAATGACTGTCTTTAAGATAATTGAGATTTTGATTTTTGCATCAATTATTTTGTCTTATATAATTTTTTGAACATACTCACCCCCCATGTAATTCACACCAGACAACGCAGATGAAATCCAAAACTTGAACACTTGTTGGCACTTCTTTCTTTCCTTCCAAAATATCAGATGCCCACTAGTAAATATTCTTGCATACTATTGTCCAACCACCTAAAAGTCATGGCTAGCCAGACTCTGTCACCTGTCTATAGTAAGAAACTTGTCAGATGCTCTGTTATCAAAATCCATTGTGTCTGCTGCATTAATATCTATGTTTTAGCTGACTGGTTTTATTTGAAATCTCTGCTTTCTCCATCTCAAGTATTTCTAAGTCAAGAGACCTTGTTTTTATCTTATTTTTTTAATATTCCCAGTGGCTAAAGATTTGAATTACTGTGTAAGTGATGGATGCTCAATATATGTTGGTTGTGGAGAGTTACTGAGTGAACAAATAGTCAATGTAAAAAAATGGATATGGGGGCCTCCCTGGTGGCCTAGAGGTTAAGTCTCAGCGTTAGCACCACTGAGGCCTGAGTGATCACCGGCCAGGGAGCTACCCACATGGCGTAGCATATCTCTCCTGTCTCTCCCACTGCTCCCCCCAGCAGTGTATTTCAGTAGATCTGCCTGTTCTGCTCCCCGCTCTGTCTCTGGTGAATCCTTTCACTCCCCACACCTCAGGCCTACATCCCAGTTCTTCTATGCAAAATAAATAAATATATATTTTTAAATGGATATAAAATGAACTAATTCTGCTTGTCACCTTATTAACCCTGTGGTGAGCTCTAAGGTCTCTTCTGAAGCCATTTTTAGAATTAGAAGTCTGTCAAGAATTGGGCCTAACTCTAGTGAATGTGTCCTGTATTCAGACAAAAATTAGAGAAGATGTCCTACGGTGATGATTAGTGTGACACAGATTTTAGACTTTCAGTTACCAACCTTACCACCTTTCCATTCCCCTGGTGCTTATTCCATTCTTCAGTATTAAAAAGATTCTTTCTCAAAATGTATTTTCTGTTTTAAAATTCAAAGTCATTTATTAAGATAAATGCTCTAATTTATTAAGCAAATAATATTAAAAAACAATCATCACGAATTTAAAAGTTTTTTTTTTTTTTTTGGTATGTTAGTATAAGACAGTTATCTTTAGGGTACAGTAGTACCTGAGATAATTCTGAATCTAGATTTTTAATTTTCAAACCTCAAGAAATCTATACTTGTATTTTTCAAAATAATTGTCTAGAATGTTGATTTAAGATGTGAAGTTATGTAAACAATGTGTGATTATCAGAGTGTGTCATCTTAATTCAACATGTAGCCAGTATTAATTGTTTCTTACTAACATAGATATGGATATGTGTGTGCAACAAAGATTATGAAACTGAGGAAAATACTTGAAAAAGTTGAGGCTGCATCAGGATTTACCTCTGAAGAAAAAGGTGACTGTCTTAATTTATAGTAAATGCATTAAAGCTAATTTGAAAACACATGCTAATCATTGACTGAAATGGGCATCTGTGTAGTCTGAAGGGGCTTCATTTTGAATTAGATATTCCTTTTGAAGTGTGAATACTCTACTCTTTATAAATATTTTCTTTCTCTCTTCTAAAAGTGAGTGATGTGGAACAATGAACTCCCTTACAAAGGTGGTTGGATCCAACATATTAAATAAATATATTAAAAAAATTTTCTCCACCCAGCAATGACATTTGGAATTGCTTCCTTTCAGTAATAAAGGGTTGCATAAAGTCATCCACATTTCTCTACATAACTTTTATAAAGGAAGTTAAAAAATGGCGGGCTAGGACCACGTCTATGGTCCGAGAAGTTATTTTAATCTCTTCATAGCTAATGGATTTACTGAGAGACTCAGACCTGACTTTGAATGTGTCAGAATCATCTTATAATCAGTATGATATCTCAAGGCTTGATGATTATTTAGCAAACAATCTCAAGATCATACTTCAGGTTTTATTCCACTTACCTTAAGCCCCTTGAAAGAAGTAAAAATTATTTCACCATATATGAATGATTATACCCTTCCAAATGCAATACAGTAACAAAATTGTGACATGCCTTTAAATATTCTTTGTATTTTTGTAAGGGAAACTTGAGCACTATACTAGCAATTGAAATAATATTTATTATGAAATTGAATTCAGGATAGAAATTTGACTGTTAATTAATAATAAGTAGAATGATTTAAAAAATTTTGTCTGTGACTTACTTGATTTTTAATTTTCTCCTAGATCCTGAAGAGTTCTTAAATATCCTGTTTCATCATATTTTAAGGGTAGAACCATTGTTAAAAATAAGGTAACTTTTGAATTGCTGCAGAAACATTGGAAAAATAGCCCTCATTTCACGACCATCATTCAGGAAAAGATTTTGTAGTGATTATTAAATTTTGTATTTGTGTAGGGATCGTAGCATGTTAGGTTCCTATAATGCAAATTATTTTTCCATAATATCATATTCAACTTGAAGAATGAATCCAATGTAAATTTGTGCTTTTAATTTTAATTCTGGTAATAAATGCTATTGCAAATAATTTTAATAAGATGGTACATAAATATTTCTGTAATTTAAATGAACAAGCCCTTTAAGAGAATCTTATACCCAGCATCATGAAAACACTGTTTTTGTCTACCCACCTCTTGAAGAATTAATTCAGTCTTAAATTAGCTTTCTTGTTCCCACTTCTGTAACCCGGTCCCTGCCCCTCCCACTCCCAGATCCTTCTTGAGTGGATGGAACCCTTGCATCAAATGCAATTAAGTTCTTAGTGAGCTGTTGTAATTGATTGTATTTTCCAAATAGTTTTGAATGTTTATAAGTCTACATGCTGAATCTTTTTGCACTGTAGTGTGGGCCTCTCTGTTGAAAATCTCTCTCTCTCTCTTTCTCTCTCTCTCTCTTTTTTTTTTTGATCATGTTATGTTGGTGTAAAACACTGTATGTGACTCAAAGGCATGGGAACACATGTCCTCAGATGCATGTCACTGCCCCAAGCCTACCACCAAGGCCCCCATAGTCCTCTTCCATAGTCCATGTGCCCCTCCCCATGTGTTGAAAATCTTGCTAGCATATTATTCACTTCCCTAAAAGCTAGTCAATAGCCACATGGCTTTACTCATCTCTATCTTAAGTGCTGTTGTTTGATGCCAATGTTGTATTGATGGATGAGGAGGAAAGAAAGGTAGACAGTATCATAACTGCAGTTTGATAGTTTGATACTGTATTGGGAGGTCTAACTAATAAGACATGATAAACATCAAGAATACTATTTATTATCTCTTCAAAGATAGTGATCGCTCTAAGTATACCTAGAAAACCTTAGAGAGTTGTTTGGAAGCTGTTAGAATTAACAAAAGAATTTGCAATTTGGCCATGTAGAAAGTAACCATAGAGAAGTCAGTAGAATTTCTTGTATACCTTCTAGCAAATATGAAAAGGATAATTTCATACTTCATGAGAGTATAAAATGCTAAGAAATCAATTTATTGAACTAGGGTTTTTAAAAGACTTGTAAAAGACTAAAAGATGATTTGATTAATTAGTGAGAAAGACTGCATTCCAGGTGGGAAGATTAAATAATTTAAACATTACTTTGTACAAAATAATTTGTACCTAATCAAGATCTTGATTTTTTTTTTTTTTTTTTTTTGGAACTCAGTGATTTTAGAGTTCTCTACAAGAAGAAATGGGTGAAAACATTGAATTTTTAAAAAGAGTTCTATTATAAGCTGTAAAGGCAAAGCAATAGACATTAAACAGTGGTACTGGTATAAAATTAGAAATATGGATCCACAGAACTGAAGTTCAAAAATAGAATTAGCTTATATGTAATACTGCAGTCTCTTGTAAATCAGCCTTCAAACACAAGGAGGGGAGGTAATGTTAAAAGTACATGATGTGGGAGAGTGAGCAGGCAACTGGGGAGAAGAAAGTCACTTTTGTTTTTCATCTGGAAAAACCCAGGTGGGGCCTGGATTCTCTGCCTCACTGCGCTTTTGACTTGCTGGGAAATGATTGTCCTTCCCTGGATCTCAGGGTCTTCCTTTTAGAAAAAGTTTGTTCTAGAAGATCTTTAAGAATCTGTGTCAGTCAAGTATATAAAATTTATTTTCCCATCTTAAGCATTAAATGCAGTTTGATGCTTTCTAGATTTGGATGGTGAAATTGAACCAAGTGATTTTAGCTTCTGATTATATTGTCCACACAGTACTTCTTGACTGCAGGTATTATTCCATTATTTTTTCTCCTGATCACTAAGGGAATTGTTCAGTACGAAAACTAAAACAGGAAACCATTTTTGAGGTCTTAGGCACAAGTACATCAGCTGTTTAAATTATTGTTCTCTGTTGTTCTGAGTATCCAGAGTAGCTCCATCAATTTCATGTTTTTGTGTTCTTAAATACTACAGCATCACTTTCTGATTCAAACATTTCATAAATAAATTATGTGTATTTTTAATTGTTTTTAGATCAGCAGGTCAAAAAGTACAAGATTGTTACTTCTATCAAATTTTTATGGAAAAAAATGAGAAAGTTGGAGTTCCTACAATTCAGCAGTTATTAGAGTGGTCTTTTATCAACAGTAACCTGAAATTTGCTGAGGTTAGTCATAACTACTTATTGTATTTTATGTGAAAGTCCTTAGGATTCTTTAGACTACTAGTAAATTCAAAAGCTATTACTTTTAACCCTCTGAGAATAGTTAGAAACACAAACTGTTAGCAAAACACAAATTAAAAAAATGTTTCAACTTTGTCCTTGTGGAGAAAGCCTTAGAATTAAGATTAAGGTTTTTAGGGTTTGGTGCCAAAGAAAATATCAGGCTAATATGTAACTCGAAAACGTTTAGTTAAAAGCAGTGAAGATTTACGATTTTTTAAACATGTTAAAATTTAACAGATATTAAATTAACTTAGGTTAAAATACGTTTAACATTTTACCCAAGCATATTATCCAAATACATCAAAAAGGAAATGTTCACTTTTCCTCTTTCAATAATTCACTTATATTGGTTTATTGATGAATAAGTGATATAAATTATCTTTCTTTTAGTCTTGACTTTTATGATCTTAACGTGTGGCTTATTTTTATTGTAATTTTTTTTCTGAAGGAATGTTTTGGTCAAACCCTATTAGCCACAATTGTTTATTTGTTGAAATATAAGAAATAGTACTTACCGGTGATCACAATTCCTGCACTGTAGTTGCAAAAGCAATCTTTTCAAAATAAATAAACAAATGTCTTAAGTAGAAACCCAGCGTGGATGGTCACTCTAGAGAGTCAGCATATTGTTTGAGATGAGGCTTGTCGAAATCCCTGGCCCCTGGGCCTGGTGTGTCCCTGGCCCATGGCCTGGTGTGTCCCTGTCCATGGCCTGGTGTCTCCCTGGCCCATGGCCTCGTGTGTCCCTGTCCATGGCCTGGTGTGTCCCTGTCCATGGCCTGGTGTGTCCCTGTCCATGGCCTGGTGTCTCCCTGGCCCATGGCCTGGTGTGTCTCTGACCTGTGGCCTGGTGTGTTCCTGGCCCCACGGCCTCCGTGAAGTCTGGTGGCCGCTGGCGCCCTGCCTTTATGTTCTGCCTCCACATGTAGGTCCGGTTTGACAGGCCATCAGCGCGGTGGCGAAAGCACAGCTTGGTTCCACAGCCACGTCTGTTTCAATTTCATAGGGAATTTTTTTTTTTCAGCACTTTGATTCTAAAAATGTGTATCTTTTCTTTAGGCACCATCGTGTCTGATTATTCAGATGCCTCGATTTGGAAAAGACTTCAAACTTTTTAAAAAAATTTTTCCTTCACTGGAATTAAATATAACAGATTTACTTGAAGACAGTAAGTATAAGATATTATTGTTCTAATTCATTGTGATGAAAAGTCAAAAGGAATACAATTCTGGAAGGCAATTTGGTATCAAGGAGTCTAAAAATAGTAAGCTAGTCATTTCAGTACTAGGAATTTATTTTTTGAAAGTGCTGAGACATGTAATTTTATATATAACTATGTCTATTTGTTAAATAGTAGACATATAAAATATGTCTACTTCTTGTTATACAAGTAAGAAGTTAGAAACTACGCTTTAACAAGAGACGGGTAGTTAAATGAATCATGGTGTGTCTGTGCAGCCATGATACTGCCATTAGAATTCATGTTTGAAGACCAATGTGTATGAAAGAGGCTATGATGTAATGTTAAGTGAAAAAATAAGTTGATGCTTTCTACAAGAGGAACTATACAGTGTTACATGAATAAGCAGATGCAAAATTATTGGTTAATCTTTAAAATTGGATAATCCAATTTTACTCTAGTAGTACTGACAGTGGTTATCTCCTGCTAACTGAAATTGTGGATGCCTTCAGTTTTCTTTTTTATACTTTCCTTAACCTTTGAAATCTTATCAGTGCACATGTTGTAATCAGGTAAAGCCCTCTAGACTATTATTTTGAAAAAATTGTCATCAGATCAGAAAAAATGTCTTTAAAGATAACCTGAATTCAAGGAAAGTCAACTCAGAGTTTAACGGGACAGGAAGGGATTTTTGTGTTCATGAACATCATCCTTTTTTTTCTGGTCTCAATAATATCTTTATTTTTTATAAGGCAATATTCATTATAACAAGTTTCGATGCCCATCATTGGGAATCGTGTATATACTACATTAAGGTCGCCACTGCAAGTCCAAGTCTGACATTGTCCTTTTTAAAGCTTAATTTTAAAACTCTTTTTAAATGAAAGAATGTATTTTTAAAGACCTGTGAACTCTCCACCCCTCTCTTACTAAGCCCCAAGGCAATGCCGGATATGCGGAGGGCTGGCGATGTATGAATGTAGAGAATGCTATGATGACCCAGACATCTCAGCCGGGAAAATCAAACAATTCTGTAAAACCTGCAACACACAAGTAAGTCTGAGTTCGCTTAATGGGTGTGCTCTTGTGAAACAGTAAATTATTTGTAGTTAGAAATCGATCTCAGGTTTCCGAAAGTTAAAAATTCATAATTGAAATACCATTTAATCCAACAATTCCCCTTGTGGGGATCTGTCCGAAGAATACGAAACCATCAACTCAAAAAATGAGATACTCCACAAGGTTTGTTACAGCATTATTTATAATAGCCGGCACGTGGACACAGCCTAAGTGTCCGCTGCCAGGGGTTGGATACAGAAGATGCAGCTGAGTGACATGACAGGATGCTTGCAGCAGAAAGGAGGGATTTTAAGAAAATTATGTAAGTAAGTCAGAAACATAAGCACAAACATTAAGTCATTTCACATATGTGGGTAAAATAAGGAATCAAAGCAGATGAATTACCAAAGCAAAATAATGAAAAGCTAGCGGGCATTGATAACCAAACTGAGGTAGCGGAGATTCAAAAGAAGGTGAGGGAGGGGGAGGTAGGGAGGGGGACTCAGAGGTGCTAGGAAATAAAGAACAATTCATAATTAAATGAAAATTCTTCATAATGAAGTGGTATTATTTGTACCTCTTCTGAGCTTAGTTGATGGACTTCTGTGAAGTGCCTGCTTGCTGCTGGTAGGGACGAGTTTGAATAATAGAGTCCTTTCACTACCAACACTGAGTTTGGCTCCTTCCTGATACTCTCTTTGTCTCGTCGTAGGTCCACCTTCACCCCAAGAGATTAAATCATAAATACAACCCGGTGTCACTTCCCAAAGACTTACCAGACTGGGACTGGCGACACGGCTGCATCCCCTGCCAGAAGATGGAGTTGTTTGCCGTCCTCTGCATAGAGACGAGCCACTACGTTGCTTTTGTGAAGTACGGCAAGGACGACTCCGCCTGGCTCTTCTTTGACAGCATGGCCGATCGCGATGGTATTTGATGTCATTCTGTCCTATTTTTATTAACCTTGTCAGTCATTTACACAGCTGTGTAACTTTGGGGGTACATTTTCACACCCCTAGACATGCATGTGCTCCACTCACCTCCATCAAACCTCTGGTGCCAGTGCCCTGACGACTCCTTCCTGAGGTTCCCTCCCTCCCCCAGTCCCCACTGGTAACCAGTATATTTTCCATAGAGTGTGAGAGTTGTTTTTGCTGTGCTTTGCCATCCAGTATCTGAGACCATCCAATATCTGCCTTTCACTTTCTGACTTATTCCCCTTAGCGTGATCACCTTAGGGTCCAGCATTTTGTCCTGAAAGGGCACTATTTCATCTTTTAAAATAGCTGTGTAGTTTCCATAGAATATATATTCCACAGCTGCCGCTGGGCCCTGAGCTTGGTTCCGTGACTTGGCAATGGTGGACAGTGCTGCTGTGAACACAGGCCTGCGGGCACCTTTCCACAGTAAAGCTTTCATATTCTTTGGGTTGATACCCAGCTGAGGTGTTGCTGGGTCATGTGGGATTTCCATTTTTATTTTTTGAAGGTATCTTCTTACCGTTTTCTATAGAGGCTAGACCAGATTGCATTCCACGAACAGTGGATGTGACTTCCTCTGTTCCCCACACCCTCAACATTTGTTATTTCTATTCTTTTGATACGGGGCCTTCTCACAGGGGTGAGGTGGTAGCGCATTGTGGTTTCGATTTGCACTTTCCTTATAATGATTTTCATGTGCCTGTGGGCCATCTGAATGTCTTCTTTGGAAAGGTGTCTGCTTAGCTATTTTGCCAATGTTTTCATTGGGTCGTCTGTTTTTTATGTCACTGGAGTGTGTAAGCACTTTATATATTTGGGAAATTAACCCCTTGTCAGTCGTGTGATTTGAATATGGACAGTTCATCTCTAACAAAGGTACCACGGCCGTATAATGGAGAAGGGAAAGCCCCTTTAGGAAATGGTGCTGGGATCATGGGAGCTAAATGCAAAAAAAGGAAACTAGACCCACACTTAATCTCCGTACACAGAAATTAATTCAAAATGGATTAAAGACTTGGACATAAGAAACCATAAAATACTTGAGAGAAAACACAGAGGATGCCCTCGGACGTCAACCTCAGTGATGTCCTTGGGACGTAGCCCCACTGGCCAGGGAAACAAAACATAGACACGTGGGACAACATCAAGCTAAAAAGCTTTGTTTTTTCTTTTTTTTTTTTTTTAATAACATAGTCAGTGGTGCAGGGGGTAAGAGGTTTCACCAGTGACCGAATAGGGGCCAGAACAGGTGGCTCTATTGAAACACACTGCTGAGGGGAGCAGCGGGGAGACTGGAGAGGTCTGCTGTGCCATGTGGGTCAGCTCCCTGGCCGGGGGTGGAACTCAGGCCCTAGAGGTGATAGTGCTGAGACTTAACACCTAGGCCACCAGGGAGGCCCCTAACAAGCTTTGTACCTAAAAGGAAAACATCACAAAAATAAAAACGCAACGTAAAGAATGGGATGGTATATTGAAAACCTTTCTTCTACATGTGGCAACTTTTGTTTGGAGAGAGATTGCCCATTCTGCAGTCAGGTGCTGAGCCCCTGAGTTCTGGGTCCCCCCACCTCTGCCCCTGGGTAATAGTCTGTTCTGAGAAAGAAGATATTCTGTGAGAAGAGCCTTTCAGAAATTGCTCGGTGACGGTCTGATGTCTTGAAATTTATTTGAACTCTGCTACTAAACTAAGAAGTAATATGGTGATATTTTGACATGCGTATGCTCTTTGTTAAAAAAAATAAAAGAATCCCAAAGTTTTCATTTTAAGGCTGGAGGTTTTACTTCAGCTTTGTCTTATTTCAGGCTCCTCTCATTTTCTGTACAAGCCCTAACAGCTGCTTCTCAAATGCCTGTCAGCCACCCTCCTGGGAAGTCCATTAAGTCTGTATACCTACATCCTCTTGAGATGGGGATGATTCCCCATCTTTTCTGTTATTAAAGCTGAGGTTTTAGGTCACTGAGGTCATGTAGCTTGTATTTAACTCAGACTTTCTGACCTCAGTGATTAAGAGTTTTTATACTAAACTGAGTTGTGTCCAAAGGAGAAAACTAAGAGTAGAAGTAAGTATCTTCTTTGGAAAAACAAGCCTGTTCTGCGTGTGATGTGCATCTTCCTGAGGTGGAAATGTGCTGCGCCTTCTAGGCCTTTCTCTAGGACTCTACTCATTCCCTCCCGGATGCACACTTCTCAGTACATGATGTGCCAGAGACTCTGCGGGTCTGGGACGAAGTGGTTGTGAGGACACCTACATCTCGGCCTGAACCGTCTGCAGCTTAGACTCAGTCTGGCAAGGTTGTGAGGGACTGCACGCTCCGCCACCCATCTTCTCATGCCCCATTTTCCCTTTAGCCTTTCCCTCTACCCCTCAGATAACCTGTACCCTGCTGTGTGGCAGCTTCTTGACTGGAGACCAAACTCTGGACCAGGTCTTCACATTTCCTAGCGCTGACTCTCAGGGACACAACACAGCCCTGTCTGTCAGCATGTCTCTACCCCATGTCACATTTGTGTTTAACAGTAAAATGCAAAGCTTGGGGTTTCAGATGCTTAGAGAAGCCAGAAGGTCCTTTCTGGAATCCCTGAAACCATACTCTACAGTACCTTCAGTCAGTGACAAGATAGGTAAAACAAAACCTTCTAGAATTACACAATTTTTTCAATTTAAGGAAATATAATAGTATTTACTTCACGGCATCTGCTCTAAATTTGATGCTCTGGTGGTGCGATGTCCGGGGATGCTATGTCTGGGTGGGATGTGGGAGTGTGAAGTGTGGGGTGCTGTGCGCCAGGTGTGTAATCACATCATCCCTTAGCTGCCTACAGAGAAGCCTCGAAAGCAGGTCTTGGCCTTTGCTCAGGATCTGTGTCCTTGACTGATTTTATTCACTTTCGGCTGCAGCATCCTTCAGAAACTATGAAATGAGAAAAATGTCCATGGTGAAAAAGAGGCTTTAGCTTCTAGAAACCGGAAGTAAAACATGGTCTTTCAGAGCTGAAAAAATAGCCTTCACTGAAAATCACAGGACCATAAAATTGCTTGGAGGGCGGGGCTTGAACAGCACTCTCTTATGAGGCCTCTCCCTTTCCCCAGGTGGCCAGAATGGCTTCAACATTCCTCAAGTTACCCCTTGCCCGGAAGTAGGCGAGTACTTGAAGATGTCTCTGGAAGATCTGCATTCCTTGGACTCCCGGAGGATCCAAAGCTGTGCGCGGAGGCTTCTCTGTGATGCCTACATGTGCATGTACCAGAGTCCGACCATGAGTCTGTACAAGTAAACGGGGTCACCTCATTCAGGTGCAGAAACTGGGTGCAAGATTTTCACGTTGCATTTTCCTCCAGCTGGCAGTTTTGTTTTCACGTCCATTGCCGGCAATGGATGTCTTTGTGGTGATGATCCTTTGAAAAGGATTCCTGTGTTTAAAGAACAAATTTGCTTTTGTGTTACTAAAATATTTAATAAGAAGCATTTTGCACTCTAGAAAGTATGTTTGTGTTGGTTTTTTAAGAAGTCTAAATGAAGTTATTAATACCTGAAGCTTTAAGTCAAGTGCATTGATCATATAATATTTTTGGAAGCATAAAATTTTCATTGTGACAGTGTAAAGCCTCTGAGTCCATTGGGGATGTAAATAAATGTGTCTTCTTTATGGACCAAGGATATGAAATCATTTTTCCTTTGTAGCTAACAATTGCCTTGAGGAAGAAAATATTTTGGTTTTATTAAGAGTCTACTTTCAACCCAGTTATTAAAGTTGCATTGAGTTTGATTTGTTAATCCCCGTCTAGCACTGATTCCTGCATGTCTTTAACCTGCTGGCTTTCTGTGTTTCTGCGGTAGCAGTCAGAGAAGTAGTTCAATTCCTTAGAGGTGTCGTTTTCTATTTGTTCTGGTTTTGAGATAACTGAGTGATTTTTGTCATAAAATGTCCATTTTGGATGTAACTTTTCTGGGGGAGTACGTATCCAGCAATGGAAGCTCTTCACTCACAGTAGTAACTGTCAGTGAACAGGTTTTTTTTTTTTTTTTTAAAGCTCTATTTTATGGAATGGTCACAATCAATTTTATAAAAGTATTGGGGTGATAAACATAATGCATTCCTACACAAATATATAATCTGTAAGAAAATAAATTTGATCTATAGAATTACTCATTACAACTTCCCTGAGAGACACACTGGCTCTCTCGCCCTCTGCCACTTCACGGACTGTCCGGGACGTAAGTGTGGCCAGTCAGTCAACTCACTGAATTCAGTTTAGTTTCCCTTGTGAAAATGACAGTTACAAATCAGATTTTTTATTGAAATGTTAGCAGCAGCTTTATCTTCCTCCTGATTAAAGAACTAGAAAATGGATGTTTTCTTAGCTGATACCCATAACGTGTGTCTAGAGCGTGGTACCGTTGTAGACTAGTCCCGTAGATTATACATGTGCTGTGGGTTGTGTGTTCTGAGTGTTGTTTTGTGGGGATGGTGTCTTTCTGGAATGACCTCTTAACCATGCAGAGAGACAGAAAAGTGGTCATATGCACACAACATATGACTTCACAGAGTATTTAATGGCAACAAAACTGCAGAGGATCTTTATAAACCCTACATTTTTTTTTTTTTTTTGGTGATTTTATCATTCCATCTTGTTAGTATTTACTAGCTTCCTCAATCATAATAAGGTACAGAAGTTCCTTCGTCTTGTAATTTTTTCACTCTTAAAAAGAAAAACTACATGTTTTCCATGAGGTTCTCCTAACTGCTTGGTGGGGTAATGAGGGGGTGCCGGGATGGGGGTGTAGGGAGCCAGAGCCCTGGGCTGAGGACAGATCCCGCCTCCAGTCCCTTGAACACGTGGGAAGAACAGACATGGGGTCAGGATGTCTGAGGTCTCGTCGCTCTGACCATCCACAATTCTGATCACCACGTGGGAAATACCCACTGACTGCGAGGGCGCCCCCAGCGGAGCCGTCTTAGAAGGTTGTCCAGAGGGATGATTAGAAATCTCTATCTAGGTAAGACTGGACCTTAAAAGACAACTGGAGTTAAAAAGAAAAGCGAAGTCAGTTCCTTGTCTTTGAAAATTAAAGCAAAATGCAAGTTGAGGAAGGTCTGTGCTCCTCAGCTTTCCACCTGTCTGGAGGGGCCCCCTGCCTCGCGGCAGAGACTCTCCCAGGGGGATGGCCCACCTCACCCATAAGTTATTTCTAAGGAATTTTCCTCAAGTGGAACTATACCTCCTCTAGTGTTATCTGCAGAGGGGCCCTCTGTGAGGGCGTGCAGGGCCAGCGTGGTGCTTTGGTGGAGTTGTGGCCTTTCCTAAGGCCCTGAGTGGCCCCTGCGTGCCCCTAGCTTGTCCCTCCTCCAACAGAGCCCTGGCCCGTGAGTGGGCACCAGCAGGGCTGGGTTTGTGCCAAGGGTGGCCCCTGTGCCTGTAGATTTACTTAAAATTTACCCTTAAATTTTCTTTCATATTTTCTTGTTGGCGTCTTGAATGCTTTGGTTATCTTTTTCCCCCTGTTTATTGCCTACAGTCAAGATGACAATATAGTAGGATTGCCGTTTTTATAATGTGGCTCATGACTCATAGCTGCAAACAGAAAATATAATAAAGTCGTGATCCCCAACCTCCACACGTAAGTGTGCGTGCGCGCGCTTGGGGCTGTTGTGGGGCTATGTTGTGTGTGCGTGTGTGGATTTGTGTGGGGAGCAAGGGGAGCATCTGTATGAGAAATGTGTTCAGTCCTTCACCGTGGGCTGTCTAAAGGAGTTTTATCCCACCCACTGAAGAATGTTTGCCAGGCCAGGAGGACACTTTGTACCAATAAGGAAGCTCAGTCAACTGTGGTCCTTATAATCGGGGCAGATTATCTCCTCAGAACAAAGTAGCGTTTTTAGAGTTCATGTTTGCCAAATGTTGCAGGTGATTGGTTTCTTCCTGTCCCTTGGTTGCTTTTAGACTTTCATGTAATTCACACAGCCCGGGAACAAGGGCAGGCACAGTCATGGAGCCGTGGAACTCGTGCTGTTGCTCAATTTCCTGGCTGTCAGCACGTGGCTTCTTCATCATCAGGGCTCTAGTCAGCCCCCCTCAGTGGGTCTGGGGTCTAGCTAGATCATCCTGTGTCTGCCTGGATGATCATTGACAGAAGTGAGCAGGGACACGGGCTTGGCGGACAGGCTGCCCACCAGCATGTATCTAGGATTGTGCCAGAAGGAAGATTTCCTGGTCCCGCCCTCCGACAGCTTACCTCCTGCGTGGTGCAACAGAGCAGAACCACTGTGCCTCTGGCTGCAGCCCTTTCTCTGTCACTTGCTCTGTTCGTCAGCCTTCAGTGATATCCTGACGGTGGGGGCCTTAGCTCTCTCCTCTGTGTAGTAAGGGGGTTGGGATATTGCACTGTGCGTCCCAGGCCCTGCCTGCTGCATCTGACTTTTCCTGAAAGGGGGGAATTTGTTAGGGAAAAGCTCAGCTGGGTGAACCTGACAGTCAGATTGAAGAACATTCAAGTAGGGGATCTCAACAGAGCTTTAGCTCTGTGCCCATGTGATGATATACCATTATGTGTTAATGATGCTCCATAAAAGTGGGGATGTGGCCACTCCCCAGAGTTTGCATGGTACCGGAAGGGCATTCCCATGCCCACCTCCACCCCGCTGTTCCCGGGGCTTTAGGCTCTCTTTACAACACACTTTAGTCTTTTTTTTTTTTTTAGATTTATTTATTTATTTATTTATGCAAGCACTGGGTACAGTCAGAAGCGCGGGAGGGTGAGAGAATTCACCAGAGCCAGAGCGGGGAGCAGAGCAGGCAGAAGGACCGAAGTCCACTGCTGAGGGGAGCAGCGGGCGGCAGGAGAGGTCTGTGCGCCATGCGGGACCCTCCTCCGGTGGCCGGGGAGCAGCCGGGGATCGAACCGGCGCTGCAGAGGCTGCGGGCAGCTTCGCAACCCAGCGCTCAACCGTGGCGCCCCCGGGGAGGCCCATGGAACGCACTTTAGTCTTAAGAGGGTATTTGATGTTCTATCCCTGTACAATTTCCTTCCATTTTATTTTGTAGGGAATGAAAAGGTAGAAAAACAAAACAATCAGAAATGTTGAAGAAAAATCTTGCATTGTTTCCCACTCTCTGCTACTATGTGATAGAAGATTATAAGAAGTTTCTCTGGGCAATAGAGCCTCTTCTCATGGAGGAAAAAGTCCTCTTTAAAGCAGATGGAAAGGACAGTGTGAGGGAGAGGGGAGGAGGAGAGAAGGGAGCCCTCGAAACCCCCTGGTGTGCCGGCTGGGCCCGGAGGTAGGCTCCCGTGTGCCCGGGACGGTGCCCGTCAGAGGCCAGGCTTCTGGAGAGGATTCCCGCAGGGAGGGTGCCTGGGCCTTGTCTCTTCTCCTCTCGGAAGTAGTATTGGAGGGAAAAAGAGAAATTCTAAATTCTAGAGCCGACGAGGGGATTCTCTTGAGTCAGAAAGAGCAGCAAAAAGCTGGCCGGCACACGGCCGAGGACCATGGCAAGGCAGGACAGCAGGCACCCCTTCTCCCCGATCCCCGCCTTGTGGATGCCAGCGCTTCAGCAGGGTGCCCAGGCGCCAGGGGCTCCCCTCTCCTGGGGGATGCTGTGCCATTTCCACCGTATTCTTTCTTTCTCGGGAGAGCCTGGGAGAAGGGCCGGGACGGAGGGGTAGTCCTTCGAGCACCCCAACTTCCGAGATGATTAGCTTGCGCTTTCACACACTGTCCGCTTTTTCTGGAGAGATTATGTGGGAGAGTCCCCTGTCCTTGGTATTATTTTCTAAAGTGGCCTGTGGATCTTCAACTGCAGAAAGTCTTAGCAGCTTATCATAAACCTTCAGTTATTTTTTTTTTAAATGTCCTTTGAATTTTCCCAGGGAAGTCGCGGGTAGCAGTCTCTGTGTCTGGTATCCTGTTCAACATTTTTTTCTTTTTTGCCTGAAGAACATCCTATATTTACGAAGACTCTTTAAAATTAACACCACATAAAATATCCCTTTACTATCAGATTGCTCTGATTTAGCCTTAATTTTGTTAAATTTTTTAGAGATGAACGAAGTGCTGCTGTGGAAAGAAATGTACTATATACTATTTCTGTATCATTAAAATTAAATTTTTATGGTTCCTTCTCCTTGATTTCTTTGGGGATGGGTTGGGTTCTGGGGAAATTGGAATTGAGTTCAACTCTTTTAAATTTGTTTATTTAGTGGAAGAATTGGGGTGTGGACCAGAGGTGCAGGGGGTGAGAGGATCCACCAGAGTCAGAGTGGGGAGCAGAACAGGTGGATCCGCTGAAATCCACTGCTGAGGGGAGCAGCGGGGAGGCAGGAGAGGTCTGCTGAGCCCTGTGGGTAGCTCCCTGGCCGGAGATCGGACTCAGGCCATAGCAGTGATAGTGCTGAGTCTTAACCTGTAGGCCATTAGGGAGGCCCTTGAGTTCAACTCTTTTGGTTGCAGTGGTGCCAGCAAAGAAGGTTCCTTTGGGAAGATGCTCAACCCGGCACACCTGATTCTCTTCCAGGCCTCCACCATCACTGTGATTGCTTCAGAAAACCTCAGCCTTCTGTTCTGGGAGATGTGCCAGTGGCCTCCCGTTCCCCCAAGCGGCTGTCATTTGGGTGCAGTTTCCAGAAGTACCTTGGCATTTGCAAGCTCTGCTCCTAGTTAAAAAGCTCAGTCCCTCCGGTCTCAGCCACTTCAGGTGCACCCCTCAACTTCACTTCCTTGTGTCTCTCCCTGGGCACAAAGTCACCCCCACAGAGCAGCCTGTCCTGGCCTCCCACCGCGGCCATGAGGCAGTTACGCCCTGCTTCTCTGGATGAGCCGAGGGATGACCGCATGATGCCGGGTGGGTGGGCGCTTCACTTCTCTGTGTCGGGTAACTGACGGCCTACCCTTCCTCAGGAATTACTTGGAGTTTAAGTCACTTCTTATGCCAAAGTAGAAAAGGTAGATGGGTCTCAGCTGGTAATACTGTTATGAATACATTCAAGAATTTCCTGTTTTGAAAACCCGGAGCTGGACACCTTGGTGCTGATGCACCAACCTGATTGACTCTGGGTGAGCGTGACAGTCAGTTCATACACACTTGGCCTCCCTGGGGAGCCAATCCAGTGAAAGCGAGTCCTTGTCAGAGGCCAGCCGGCCTGGCCAGGGAAGCCCCAGCCCGCCCTAGGTCAGCTCCTCTCCTGGACCGGCCCCAGCCGCGTGGAACTAGACTTCTGCTGGAACACGGTCCTGCCCACACAGCCTGCACGCGCTAGCTGGGCCCTGGCATGGCTAATTATAAGATGTAGAGTAATTAGGAAGCTCTGGGTTTTGAGTAATACTTATTAGCTTTGTGTAAAATGTATTGAATGGTAAGTTTATAGCCCTGATTTTAATAATGGATGTATTTAAGAACAGACTCACAAAAATGTAAGCATTTAACAGCTGGCTCTTGTGAGCGGGGGAAGTCAGTTTGGGTTCATCACCGACATCCTCAAAAATGCCCCTGCAGGCACCTTCTGCTCAGCACCTGTGCCCAGACCTCGTGGTTTATTGTGGCCTGCTTGCATTAGGAGAGGGACCGTCTCTGGTTCCCCCCGACCCCTTCCTGAGCACCTTGAATCGTGCCTGGCACGAAGTAGGTGCTCACATATTTGCTGAATGAAAGAAGGGCCTGTCGCACTCGTGTGCACAGCGGTTAGCCTGGCCCCATTCACTGTTGTTGGTGTGGCACAATCAGAGCACTGTTCACTTCTCCTGAGAAAGTACAAGCCGTGCCGGCCCTGGTCCCCACATAATGTTTCCTCTCAGGAGTGGAGACGTCGTCGAGTTGCCTGGTAAGGCTTTATGGACCCCAAGCAAAGGCTGCCATGGCAAGTGCTTCTCGCAGCTGGCACTCAGTAACTGCTCAAGAAGTGGGGGCCAGGGGCCACCATGGCAGTAGGGCGGGGCACGAAATCGAGAGACAGCAGCAACTCTAATCAACCTCTCTTTCCACCTCCCTTCTCCCCCCAGTGCCTTATTTTCGGGTTACGTTCTCTTTAGACTTATTAGGTAAGATTTGGATTTTTTCCAAGAGTCTGGTCTGCCTGCGTGCGCTGGCGCCATCGTGTGGCCAAACTCGGGCATGGCCGTGCCCAGGATCTCAGGGCCCCCCCAGCTTCCAGCAGCCAGAGCGCAGGTTCGGGGAGCGGCAGGTGACTTTTGGAAGCAAATATGGCCGGGAGTGAAGGCTGCACGTCGGGCTAGGAATGACCTCCAGGAGGGCTTAAGCTTCCTCGCTGTGGTTTCAGGGTCGCCGGCAGCCGGGCAGCTCGGCTGGCACGTGTCCTCACGCAGCCCGTCCCCCGCTTTGTCTCCATCTGTCTGCGTTCTCGGGCCTTTCACGATCGGCATTTAAGACAATCTGGCGCCATCTGCTGGGCGAATGCCGTAAGGTCGGAGGTGAGGACCTTTCTTGGGGATCCTCGCAAGAGCGCATCAGTCAACCAAAGGACCCTGCTGTGCACCCCTCGACTGGCGCGTCTGCCCCCCTTCACCAGAGCGCTCTGCTGTGCGGGCTGGGGCGTGGGGAGAGGCTGTGGCGTGAGCCTGGCTGCTACCGCCCTGGCTTTCTGCAGCTCCGCTGGCAGGGCCTCGGCCTGAAGGTCAAGCAGGAGCTCCCCCAGTTTCCTCAAGCGTGTCTGAGGCCCCTGGCCCCAGCTATGCGGGACGAGGATGCCGGCTCAGAGGCCCCCCACAAAGCACACAGGCAAACTCAGAGTGGGGCCCTAGAGTCTGTGTCCCCGACACCCGCTCTTCCCCGCCAGGTGAATCTTCCGAGGTTGGAGGGCCACCCCCAGACCCCGCCACACTTCTTTATTTAAAAAGCAAAACACAGAAAGAGTTGCTCTGGAGTAAGGCTTGCATCAACTGCTTTCTGGGTGTGTGACAGCAGGACTTTCCTACAAAGCCACAGAACCCACCTTCCCTCCTCTTGTGCCCCTGGCCCCGCACTGGGCACCCCCAGAAGCAAACACTGACTCCTGCCGCTGGCGGCCGTAATCCCTGCCCGCGCCACTCCTGCTTCCCCTTCCAAACCCAGCTCAGCCTGTTCTCCCCGGCCCATAGGCATGTGGGGCCCAGGGCCACATGCAAGCACAGAACTGTGCTGGGAAGCTTCCAGAACTGGGGGTCACCACCTCTCTGAGCCTGTTTCTCCATCCTTAATACTGCGGGATTGGACTGTGACCCCTACTGTCCTCAGCTCTCATGGAAACTCCTAATCACTGCGGTTTGACTCTGTCTGACTCTAATTATTTGAAGTATGTTCAAATAAACTCTTGAGAATTTTAATGTGCCTCAGTTTATCTCTCAACACCAACCATGTGGAATTATGGGGACAGTTCAGGGGGCTCCGTCCCAGACCCGCAGGCTCTCCTGGGTGCAGCCTGGGCCTTCTGAAAGTTGCAGGGCTGCGCTGGCTCAGACGTGACCTTCCTTGGGCGTCTGGGCTGTAGGGATCCCAGAGCCTGACAGAGGGGCCTCCGGTGCCTACGCTGCAGCCAGAGCTTTCTCTAGTCTGGGTTGATCCCATGATCCCATGGTTCCCCGTCAGACGCATGCCATCCCTACCTCTCCTTCCTCACCCCCTGCGCGTCCTGCTCAGCTAGCACGGGGAACATTCAAGACTGTCCCTGTAAAAGGCCCCTGCTCAGCTCCAGAGCAGCAAACTGGCCCCGCCCTCAGGGGACCCTGCTCCTGAGACACCCCCAGGACTCTGTGGCTCTG